CTCTGTGCCATGGGGCCACTCGTCATGGTCATCCATGATCGTAGTATTGTTAAACAACCATGGTGACGACTTGGGATTTTAAGCAGTTTAAGAAACCTCCACATTGATTGGATTCCGATGTCTAGTGGTTTTTATTGCCCCTTCTTTTCTTGTCACCCCATCGTTGGCGAATCCCCTCCAAGCTTTGGGATGTCAATCTCCCATTGGTCATTGGTCATTGGTTGTAGGGCAGCCACTTTTCACCGAAAAACTCGGCCCTTGTCGGTGATATCCCAATGACCATAAAATATCACCATTGAATCTGGTGATTTGTGCCTCAGATCCAAGATATTATCTCAATTTTGGGCGGTTGTTCCAATTTTCCCACTTTTGGTGTTCAAAAAGCCTCCAAGCTCCCTTATTAAACCAAGCCTTTTCATCAACTCTCAAAAAAAAACACCAAAAAAACGAAACGCCTTCATCATTAACATCTATCAAACCCATAAAACCGCCCATTGTTCATCATGTACATCTCATTTAATGTGGTTAAACCAATGCCATAAACCATCCCCCAGTCATCACCATTTTTATGGGTGGTATGAACCATAAAAATATGGTTGGTTTATGGCATTGTTTTACCCACATGATATATAGATATATATTAAAATCATCACTTTTGTTGGTTAAATCCCATTAGAATCATAATTGTTCATGGTTAAATCCCATTAAACCACCATTTTTCATGGTTAAATCCCATTAAACCACCATTTTTATCATTTTTCAGGACCCAACCGCCGTTCCCCGCGTTCCAAGCCGCGTCAGCGGCAACTTGGGATCGAAGCTGCCGCTCTGCTCCCCGCGCTCCAAGGCCACCGGCAGATTCGCCACCAGCTGCGGCGCCTACGCACCGGGCACCGGTGCCAAGCCGGGATTTTATGGTGATTTTATGGTGATTTTATGGTGATTTTATGGTGATTTTATGGTGATTTAATGGTTATTTTATGGTGATTTAATTGTGATTTAATGATGATTTTATGGTGATTTTATGGTGAACTTATGGTGATTTTGTGGTGATTTTATGGTGATTTTATGGTGATTTTATGGTGATTTTATGGTGATTTTATGGTAATTTAATGGTGATTTAATGGTGATTTAATTGTGATTTAATGGTGATTCAATGGTGATTTTATGGTGATTTTTTGGTGATTTTTTGGTGATTTTATGGTGATTTTATGGTGATTTTGTGGTGATTTTGTGGTGATTTTTATGGTGATTTTATTGTGATTTTATGGTGGTTCAATCGTGATTTTGTTGTGATTTTATAGTGATTTCATAGTGATTTTGTGGTGATTTAATGTTGATTTTACTGTGATGTTATGGTGATTTTATGGTGATTGTATGGTGATTTTATGGTGATTTTGTGGTGGTTTTGTGGTGATTTTATGGTGATTTTATTGTGATTCAATGGTGATTTTATGGTGATTTTATGGTGATTCAATGATGATTTTATAGTGAATTTATGGTGATTTTATATTGTGATTTTATATGGTGATTTAATGGTGATTTTATAGTGATTTTATGGTGATTTTATGGTACTTTTATGGCGATTTTATATGGTGATTTTATATGGTTATTTTATATGGTTATTTTATATGGTGATTGAATGGGATTTAATTGTGATTTAATGGTGATTTAATGATGATTTCATGGTGATTTAATGATGATTTTATGGTGATTTTAAGGTGATTTTATGGTGATTTTATGCTGAGTTCATGGTGATTCAATGGTGATTTTTATGGTGATTCTATATGGTGATTTTATATGGTGAATTTATATGGTGATTTTATATGAGGATTTTATATGGGGATTTAATGATGATTTAAACGTGATTTTATGATGATTTTATTGTGTTTTTATGGTGTTTTAATATGGTGATTTTATCTGGTGATTTTACATGGTGATTTTATGGTGATTTTATATGGTGATTTTTATATGATGATTTTATAGGGTGATTGAATGGGATTTAGTGGTGATTTTATGGTGATCTAATGGTGATTTTTATGGTGATTTTAATGGTGATTTTATGGTGATTTAATGGTGATTTTGTTGTGATTCTATAGTGATTTCATAGTGATTTTGTGGCGACTTAATGCTGATTTTATGGTGAGTTATGGTGGTTTTATGGTGGTTTTATGCTGATTTTATGGTGATTTTGTGGTGATTTTATGGTGATTTTATGGTGATTCAATGGTGATTTTATGCTGGGTTCATGGTGATTTAATGGTGATTTTATAGTGATTTAATGGTGATTTTATATGGTGATTTTATATGGTGATTTTATATGGTGATTGAATGGGATTTAATGGGGATTTTATGGTGATTTTATGGTGATCTAATGGTGATTCTATGGATTTTAGGGTGATTTTATGGTGATTTTATGCTGATTTTATGCTGATTTCATGGTGATTTTATGGTGATTTAGTTATGATTTAATGGTGATTTTATAGTGATGTTATGGTGATTCAATGGTGATTTTTATGGTGATTCTATATGGTGATTTTATATGGTGAATTTATATGGTGATTTTATATGAGGATTTTATATGGGGATTTTACGATGATTTTATGGTGATTTTAGGGGGATTTAATGGTGATTTAATGGTGATTTTGCGGTGATTATGGTGAATTTAGGGTGATGTTATGGTGATTTTATGCTGATTTTATGCTGATTTCATGGTGATTTTATGGTGATTTTGTTTTGATTATGGTGATTTTATGGTGATTTTATGCTGATTTTATGCTGATTTCATGGTGATTTTATGGTGATTTTATGGTGATTTTATGGTGATTTTATGCTGATTTCATGTTGATTTTATGGTGGTTTAATGGTGATTTAATGGAATTTTATGGTGATTCCATGGTGATTTAATGGGATTTAATGGTGACTTAATGATGACTTAATGGTGACTTCATGGTGGCCTTGTGGTGACTTAATTTATTGTGAATATCTGGTTAGTGACAGTGACTTAATAGTGATTTCATGTATTTCTTGTGGTGAATATCTAGTTAATATGTTAATATGATGACTTAATGGTGACTTGAATGGTGATTTTCCATTGATGAAATGGGTAATAGTGACTTGATGGTGATTGAATATATGGTGACGATGTTGTTTAAGTAAGTCATCATTAAGTCACCATTATGCAGAAAAGTATCTAGTAGTATCTAGTTCATAAATGGACTTCATTCCCATATGGGTATATTAATGGTGATTTAATGGTGATTTAATGGTGATTTTATGGTGTTTCCATGACTTTCATCGGGGATTTCACATCAACTCATGGGATGGAGGCCAAAAAATAAGTAGATTTTCCCATCGATAATATGTATCTATCGATGTTGTATGATGTAATATGCATGTATATATGTAAATATATGCATGTATCTATATATATGTATATATATATGTATATATATGTATATATATATATGTGTGTGTATGTGTATCTATATATATACGGAAATATATGAAGGAAGGAGTCCCCATGAAATGTAACTAACATCAACATCAACTAACCAATCATTCACTATAGATATAGTCATCGTGGAGTAGATAGGAATGGAAATTCTGGACGCTTAAAAAAAGAAAACGGCAACTAAAATGGGAAGATATTTGAACATCCCATAGTCTATCAAATGTAGGATGATAGTATAAGTATATGTATTACGATGATATACATCTATAACATATGAAAACCATTACCAAAATATGGAACGTATTGTTTTCGGGGATCACAATGTAATATGGTGCGTCTAGTTCCATTTTTTTCGGTGGTTGGGGTGGGACTAGATAGATTGAGACAACAAAATGCAAGCAAATGGACAACATTGGATAATTTCAACTATAGACATGTATTTGTATGGTAATGGTATACAATGTAATGTATGTATGAATGATTATATATATATATATTCAGCTCATATGACTATCTGTGCCATGGTCATGTTAGTGCTATGGTGTGCTATTGTCATCCATCCCATGTGGGAATTCATACTGGGAATTCAGAAAAATCCCGTAATGTGAATTGATGTGCCCATCCGCAATGGGCAATTCACCCAAGTAATCCCATGAAATATCTTGATTGTTATTGGTAAAAATCCGGATGTTTATCATTTTTTTCACCATCTCTTCCCCGGGAAAAATCCCCATGTTTGACCATGGCACATATAATATGTGCACATGATCAGGCCCGGCTGAACTGCCAAGTGGGTTTCTTCTCATTCTTCGCTTGAAATCCAAGCCGTAAATATATCTTCTCCATGTTACTAGTGGCTTGTGCCCTCTCATTGTGTGTCCTTGTCTTCGGTTGTACACCCTATCAAATCTGATTCTACACGTATGTACATGGTATAAATATGTGCATATATATATATACATATATATATATATACATAATGATATATATACATATATATATATATACATATATATATACATGCATATATATATATACATATATATACATATATATACATATACATATATATACATGCATATATATATATATACATATATATATATACATATATATATACATATATATATACATATATATATACATATACACATATATACATGTATATATATATGTGTATATATGTATACATAAATTACATACATTTATACATACGTATACAATATATATAATATAGATATATATACCTACAGCTATTGGTCAAACCCTTCTGTTCACCCCCAAAATTTAGCTGGGATAAATGGGATGTTCCTCCTCCCAAAATCGAGTGAATCATAGGTTTCAACCCATCCCCATTAATGTACATGTATACATATAAGTATCCAGTATTCCCCCAGAATTCACATGCAGAATTCACGATAGTACTGCTTGGTGAATGGGAATGCAAAAAAAAAAGAATCCAAAGAACATATCAGTGAAAATCGGATTAAATCATCAATCATAATTTCCAAGATATCCATATATTTATTAGCACAGTTATGCACAGTTATGCACAGTTTCCCCAGCCATCCCCCGCTCCGCGGGCCATCTTCTCCATAAACTGCGACTCTGTGACCGTGTCCGTCTCCCTCAAGCCCAGCTCCATCAGAAAGGTGTGAGCCACGGCGTCCTGAAGAAAGCCCAGCTCATTGCGGAGACTTTGATTGGGGTGATTGTTGGTTCACTAAGAAGGGAAGGTTGATGATGGTTAGTGATGGTTGATGATGGTTGATGATGGTTAAATATTAGGTTGATGATGGTTTCACTCATTAATTTTCAAATGGTTGGTTGATTTGAAGATGTTTTTGTTGACGGGACACCTACGACTCTTGGATATTTTGACCATTCCAGTAAAAGTTGCTATTATGCCATCCAAAATAGAGTGTCCATTTTTCCAGTCACAACATGTGAGCAGTGTGAAATAAATCCCCAACTACCATTCCATGAAAAATCCTGGTTGCTTTAGAATGGGATTCCCCGTTCTTGGATTATGAAATAATCCCCAATATATGAAGGGTAGTATAATACCCGAACTAATCATCAACCAACCATCATGTATCAGTTATATTCACTAATATCCCCATGTTTTCCTGGTTAAAATCCCATTTTAACTACTATAATCATCTATATGAACCAACTATATCAACTATAATCCTATTTGTTTGATTGTTAAAATCCCATATAAATGCCATTTAAATCATCAACCAACAGAGGTTTAGCAGCCACTGCTCTTTTGTTTTCTGCCTTGGTCGCTGCATCGGCGGAGCGCGCTAGGGCAGTGTGAAAGGTGCTGACCACGGCCAGCGTTAAGGTGGCTGTGTCCAAGCAGCCTGCCGAGGAATGGCGCCAGCAAATTCCCTATCTAAAATGGGCGCCTATATACATACATATATATAATATAATACATATAGTGTATATATATATAATGTGTATGTGTATATATAATATATATATATACTAAACCATCCAACGAAGTGGAGGATGTTCCAGCAAATCATGTTTGAAGAGGGGCATGAACCAGACAATTTTGTTGTTTAAATTATCCACGGAAAATCATCGGAAAATAGGGAAGCATTGCCGGGAAGATCCATATCTAAACCAGAATCCCACCGCAAATTGGGTCACCTCCACCAGGTGGTTCTGTAAAAATGCGTGTGGACCTGTTTGTTTAATGCGTGTGGGGGAAAAAAACAAAAACTTTGAACCATTATCATCATTAATCATTATCAATCAGTAATTATCATTATTAATCATTATCAATCATTAATTATCATCATTAATCATGATCAGTCATGAATTATCATCATTAATCATTATCAATCATTAATTATAATCATGATCAATCATGAATTATCATCATTAATCATTATCAATCATTAATTATAATCATTAATCATTATCAATCATTAATTATCACCATTAATCATTGTCAATCATTAATTATCATCATTAATCATTATCAACCATTCATCACCATTGATTATCAGCCAATTATCAGCCCAGGTCTTGTTTTTTTCCGTCCGGCCTTGCTTCTTGGAGTCCCAGAATTGGAACCAGGCCACCAACTCATCCTGGTTGCGGTTTGCGGCTCCTGGGTGAACCTGCCTGAGAAAAGCAGAAATTATGGGTTTGCCAATTGGGGTTGCAGTTTATGCCAAGAATCCAAAGGATGAAAATGTTTTTATCTAGTTTGCCTATTTTTATTGTCCCATCTTACGTCCCATCTAATCCCCCTTATTTCTGTCCCCACAGTTTGTTTCTTCATCCCGTTTTCCCAAAAGTTGCTACAAATTGGTAGATCCATATATCATTCACATAAATCCATTTTAAATCCATATCAAATCTATATATAAGTACTTCAAAATCCATCGAAATACACGATGAATATATGAATCACGGTCAAATTCCATCTAAAATCCCACTGTTCTCTTTGGTTTTCACCATGTGTTCACCAGTTTTCACCAATTTTCACCAGTTTTCACCAGTTTTTTCACCATTTTTCGCAATTTTCCCTGAGGTTTCGGTCCGTGCCCACGTCCGGTTCCACCCCGTGCCGTGGCCTGTTTGGAGTTGCGACAGATCTGCGGAGGCCGTGGCCGGGGCGTGGCCACCAGGCGCCGCAGCTGGCGCCGGATCTGCGGCAGAAGCGTGTGGATGACCTGGCGCAGTCGGAAAATACGAGATGAATCATCTATGGAACATTTTAACTATAGATGATTATAACTAGTGTTTATCCATGAATGGTGAATCCATACTAAAATGGTGTGTTTATCTAATATAGTGTGAATCCATTATACATAACTATGGAAACACAGCATTTTAGTATGATTATGGGTTAATATGATTTGAGTTAATATATCTGGGTAAATTATAATCCCAACTGGCTTAATAGGGAATGGATGGGAATGGGGGAATAATGATCCCAACTGGGATAACTATGGGATAATTATAATGGGAGAATTATATGGGAATATTATTATGGGACAATTATAGTATGATTATGGGTTAATATTATATGGGTTAATATTATATGGGTTAATATTATATGGGTTAATATTATATGGGTAAATTATACATAACTATGGAAAATCACCATTTTTAATAAAAAAAAATGTTTAATGGCAATTATATGTATCATGGAAAATCAACATAGAAATACTTGAAAATATATGTATTAAAAATGGTCACCCCCTTTAACTGGTTGGTGGTTTCAACTCCTCTGAAAAATATTCCCTTACTTGGTGCAATTCCACCAGTGGTGATGTAACCATGAATATGCAATGTTATACCCTCTGGTAAACTAACATAACTATGGAAAATCACCATGTTTTATGGGTAAATCCACTATAAATTGCCATGTTGAATAGCTATGTTAGTTTACCACAAGGTACATATATCATCATCTGGTTGGTGGTTTCAACTCCTCTGAAAAAATATGAAAGTCAATGGGAAGGATTATCCCATATATTATGGAAAATAAAAAATGTTCCAAACCACCAACCAGTATATGTATTAATGTGGTCAAAACAATCATAAACCATCCCCCAGTCATCACCATTTTTATGGGTGGTATAAACCATCAAAAATGGTGGTGGTTTAGTATTGTTTTAACCACATTGTATATAATATCAGTGAAGATCAGTTGTTTAATTCATAGATAAGTGGACAGATTGGCATGAGGTCAAAGTTTCATGATGTTGCACTTCTTCAGTTTCATGTTTATCTTGCAATAAACGATTTTAGCACTTCTTCAGTGCTTGCATGAACACATACATGCAAACTTGAAATCGATAAGAATTGGTTTCCATGCGTTGGTTGCTTTAACTGTTCAGATGTTTCGAGTGGTAGATCTTAAGACAAAAAGATGTGGGGATGTTGAAGTTTAGAAAATCCCTAGTGGTCCCAAAAGTGGAAGCCCAGAGCGTTCCCATAAGAGGGATGCCATGGGTGCCCCAAAAGTCTTTTTGTCGAAAGAACAACTTGGGGCACCCCCACGTAAGGGTTCTTCCACATCATTTTATCAACATGTGAAAACAACAAACGATTATCTGTTCATCGTATATTCATAAATCTATCAGATTTTTGCTGCTCTAAGTGGGTTATTTTTATGCAAAAAAATCCAAAGCGTTTCTTAAACTTAAAACAAGTTCGCTAACAAGAACACAGTAGATAGGTGGATTTTTAGCAACTCAAAAAACTGACGGGTGCACAGTTATAAGGGCACCATGAACAGAGGTAATCCCCTGGAAGATTGGATCAGTGGATCTCCATGAAAAATCCCAGGCTTGGGACCTTGGGATTCCCCGTTCTTGGATTGAAAAAACCCAATGAATTTTTGAAGGCTAGAAGATAATCCCTGGATTGATCAAGCAAACAGGGTTCAAAGAACACTGCTCAGTTGAATCAACTTCTAGTGACTTCTGGGATCAGTTTACCCAGCCATGGGCTCTGCGAAATCGATCCTAGGATTTTGTTGGGCTGTAATCGAAGATCTTCAGAATAGGATCCAACGTCGGAGCATCAAGAATCTGGGAACAAAATTGAAGATCAATTCACAGAAATCAACAGAATTCAACAAATGTCTGGTAAATACTTCGACAAATCACGAAGACCATGACCCCAATGAGCGGTTTCAATTGGAGTTTGCCCAAGTGCCATCTAGAGATATCTAGAGTTGGGTCGAAAATTTGGGTATACTCCGCAAATCCCCCCAACTGGCAATTTAACACGGAAATGATGATTCAGCCGTAGGTGGATGCATAACTGTTCTTCAACCAAACCCAACTTTCCTTGGGGTACAACCAACCAAAAATCTGGATGCACTGCAAAGCAACGCAGATTCAACAGACTTTAAACTAATCGAAAATTGGGTTTACATACGAGTAACAAAGGTTGGCTTCAAAAAGTGATTTAAACCAATGCAAATGTGGATACGCGCATTCAAGCTACGGTTTTTAAGTGACAAATATTGGTGCTTAAACCAGAGGAAATGAGGTATAGCCGAGTTTCTTTTGGACCATACGAAAACCAGGCTGGTATCCGACTGTTCAAGCAAAATGAAGATGAATGAAAACGTCCCGCATTTTACCAGAAATAGCTGGGAATATAAATGTTTATAAGCCCGCCAAAATTGGAAATTTATTGTTGGGTTTAAGATGGTTTAAGATGGGACGTCTCCCGTGGCCCTCTCAGCGACAGAATTGCAGCTCGAGGACTACAGTATCGAGGCGAGTCACGTTGGATGGAAAGGATTGTAGTCAAACATTCATACAATGCATACAATACATATTCTAGCGATCAGTGTGTGTGTGGTATCTTGATGTATCATGCATAGGTTGTAATTACTTGGTCCGATTTCCAGGAGGTCCTCCCGATTCGTAGAATTCCAGGTGGAAATGGCATGCCATCTGGATCAACGGGCCCAGTTGTACCCCAACCTAGACCTAGCCCTACTACCCTCTGGTTATTTAACGTAGCCATGGAAACTGGCCCATAGAAATAGATGGTTTACCTATCAAATTTTCCATGGCTATGTTAAATAACCAGATGGTACTTGAACCATTCCCGTGACATTCCAGTGACGTCGCCTCCTGTTTGTCCAGTTCGTGTTTTTCCTCGGAATCTTCTGGTAAATTCATGACCTGCGAACATCGACGAACGCGGTGAGTATGGCTTTTGATGACCTGTGATTCCTGTCCCTAAAAATGCAGGGAACAGGACAACACCAAGCCAGAAAATGTCCAAAGAAAAAACTCAGCACTTAGGAAGTAAAACGCCAAGTAAGAAAATATCCAAAAGTAAAAAAACAAACCTGGAGTTTTGTTTGTTTTTTTCTCGAATCTTCGAAACAACGCACTGTCCACACAAATTCGATGTTTGGATCGCTTTGCCCCAGAAAAAAAAAAAAAACTGAATCTGGCCATTTTGTGCCCACAATCACCTCAAGCTAATACCAAAAAAAGTACAACTGAACAAGTTTGTGGTTAACAATGTTTTAACAATGCGTCTCGACAATTTCGGACTGATCAGAAATGATGGCTGATTCCCCGACTGAAAAGTTTGGGGATGATTCCCTTGATCCTAACCTTTAACCTTCATTTGGGGGGTTCCATAAATGGGGGAACCCAAAAACGGATGATTCATAATAGAAAATCCTATTAAAATGGATGATAAATGGGGGTACCATGGGGTACCCCTATTTCAGGAAACCTTCATTTGGGGCTCAGTCGTCTTCGGGAGTTCCCCGCACCCGCAGCACAAACTTCCGCGCATAGGCTTCATCCACCTTGAATCCCAGACGCCGTGGGGGGAGGGGAAATTAACCATGATATTCCGTAACAATGGGTAATTTCCCTGTATATATATATGTACATATATATGTTTGTATATATATATATATGTTTGTATATACATATAAATATACACAACTATATATGTTTGTATATATATATATAAACATCTATATCCTCAAATTTTCCATATGATCAGATGATTTTCCTATGATGTTCTCCTCCAAATCAACACTTCGACACTGTTCTATCGGCCGAGTTCTAGGGAAACTACTGATCTTCCATATGATTCTTCCAACCCCAGACTCATGGCAGGGTCGGAATTTGTGAGTGTAAGCAACAGAGTTTTGGGGGATTTCACCATAAATTTTATTATTGGTGATCATACTGGTGATATAAACCAAACACACCAATAAATCATTTAAATTGCAAAATTACAGCCAACATATATAATCATATATATGTATACGTATATGATATATTATCAATAGATAAGTGGAGACCAGTCAAGCAATAGATGAACAGGAAGCAACCAATAGACAGATGGCTATATAACTTGATATCAGTATCACTAAAAATTGTTCAAAACGATGCTTGCCAAGTAGTCTGCATGGAGAAGTTCTGATCAACCGCCAATCAGATCACCCTGAGGTAATCCTATCACGAAAATCATCGACAGTGAAAAACGTCATTGGGGATTCTCCGGCGTAACAGGGTTTTTTTGAAGACCGGAGAAGACGAAGCATCACAGCATCACGTATGAGGTTGACCAGAAACCATGAGGTGAACATGAATCACATTCAGCCAATTTTTGGAGTATTCCAAAACATTATCAATTTCCAGCTGGTTTTCTTTTTTTTCCTATGTCTGTCTATGTCTGTTGTTTAACATCAGAGAAATCTGGCCAAGGCCGATCTGGGTCCAAGCCGCTGGGAGAAGTGCGGCCACTGTAAAACACACCTGGCGATGCTCCCAACAGAGGGGTGGCAGGGGCCACTGGTGGCATGGAATTGGTCCTACATATAGCTATGGCAGTCATGGTCATGAACTCATTTGTTTAACAATGCAGAACAGATTGGTTCTAAAGGCGGCGTTCTCTGCGACCAAAAGGAGAAGTTGACTGGGGAAAAAATTAGTGAGGTTTCTTTCTTGAACAAATTTAATCGTTGCTATATCCACGAAACAATCCAAGATCTCGAATGTAAGATTGGAAAAAAAGAGCTGCAACATCACCAAAATTCCAGATTTTGCACTCAGGGCGTACCTGCCAGGCCTGATTCTCCTTTGGTCTTTAGGGGCTCCAGATTTTAGAAGATCACAGATCCACCAGTCCTTTGCATATCAATTTCCGCTCGATTTCCTTTGACTATATAATATTGCTAATGTATATTGTATATTGAAAAATATTATATAGTATATATAATATTAAATATAATATACACATTGATATACATTGATATAGATAATACACATATATAATCAGATAGTATTTCTACATATCTATATTCATGATATATAGAGATACATTATTGGGAAAGGGCTGGCACGATTTATCTCGCTGAAGTGTGCCTCTTGGATGTCCAAATGGCCATCGCAATTCCAGTCCTGAGATCGCTGAGTTCGCGACCAAACATGGCGAAATTGCTGGAGAAAACTCCAATGACTGTTGGGTTTACTGTAGATATGATATATTGATATGATATATTGTATCTCTATAGTTATACAATGTTATATACTCCTCTGGTTTATAAAGCAACTAACTGGAAAAAACTGAATGTCTTGGATTTGCGATCGACAAACTGCGCAACTCCAGGATGTTCTGCTAGCCTGCCCTTCAGAAACATGTGACTGGATTTTTCGGCCGGGCATTCTTTTTCTCAGAAGGCATTTGAGGGGTTCCTGAAATAGGGATACCCCTAAATCATCGAGTTTCATCGGATTTTCCGGATTTTCCCTTACAAACCATCCAGCTATTGGGGTACCCCCATGACTATGGAAACCCCCATGACTAGCCTAGCCTCCCAATCCACAAAAACAAACCAAACCGTCGCCGCAGTTTGAACTGTCGAGGAACCACAAAGTCCACCCAAGCTTCAGACTCCGTTAAGCTGGGCATGAGCTTGAAATTATCCACCTGTCCCCGCCCGGAAACAACGTAGAAAAACACGGGTCAAAAGGCCAGAAATTGTGAACCCCAAGTCATAGCTGGGATTTATGGATGGTCATCCCACTAAAATTGATATAGGTTTTGACCCATCCCCATATAGAAACACCGCTTCTTCCACTGGGAACTGAAATTCTAATTCTCATGGCATTAAAAAACAACGAAACACGATTCTCATCGTTCGGCTGTCATCCAGGCCAAAAAAATGGTGGGTTAGATCTCCATTAAAGTTTAAAGATGCTAGCTTGATTAGTGAACATCATTTTTCCTCAAATGTTCCAAGGATGTGTTTTTTTGATGTTCCAAAAGTTCCCAATTCTTGAAGACAAGTTCCATAAGTTCCAAAAGTTCCCAATTCTTTGCCAATCTGCTATTGATTTGGAAACCAAACAGATCTTCCCCATGCCTAATTTCCTCGTCCTGCACAGAAAAATGGTCGGGACTTTCTTTGTTTTCAAACTGGCGAAATAAGAAACACTCATCTTACATCATCTTGCTAGTTTGATAGTATTTCTTGCGGGATTGTATGCTATTTTCATAGTATACTATAGTATACTATCTTCTTTGTTTTCCTTCAAAGTTTCAAGTTACAGGATGCTATATTCCTCCGTTCGATGGTCAATATGATGATTCCATGTTTTCCACATGTGCTGTTTTTAAATGTATGTTGTATTTGTCCTGTGGTGTGCTCTCCCTCGATTTTTCAGTACGGTATTTCACCATTGTTTTCGAGTTTTGGGCACCCCTTTTGCATGATTTGTTCGTGCAACAAAGTCTCCAAAAATCCCAAAAAATTCACCAACCGCAAGAAAAATCATTCCAAAAAAAAACAAGAAACCCACGTGAGTTGAGTCCATTTCGATGCATTTTCCCATCAGATTTCCCGGCAACCAACGCCTGCTGCCGTGTCAAAGGCGAGACCGCCCGGCCGGTGCTGGACTCGAAGATCAGGCGACGGGTCAAGGGGTTGAGGACCTCGGAGGTGGAGGGATGACATCATATGAATCTTCTGGGAAAAGGCATTGTATATGATGAATATTATATAATTTTATATGATATACTATATACCATAGAATTATATTTTATTTTGAACATGGAAATGATTAATAATCTTCATCATATGAATCTGTATATGTTAGTATAATATTATGAATAGTGATATATCACATGAGATGATGCCATCAATGAGGAAGGGTGGAAAATCACTAGGTGGTCTTCTAGGAAAATGCTGGGAAAATGAATGTGCTTCCCCCGTCAGTTGCACGTTATGTTTGTTGGTTTTTTTGAAGCCATGGTAAAACTAGTTCGATTCATGGGATACAATGGGATATAACATTTATATATTTCTAAAAATATATCTCACTGGGATGCAAAAAATGTATATCCCAGGTAACCCTTATAACTTACCCAGAATCTCCCATATAACTTATATATTCTGGGTAAGTTATAAGATTTCACTAGCCTCAAATTTCACGCCCTGAGTTCGGAGTTCGGAGTGTTCGTCTCTAGGATTCGAAGATCCCAGAATTTCAGTGACAATTTATGACAAAAGGTGGTACCATCTGGTAAACTAACATAACTATATCATACTAATATCGAAAATCACGTTTTTGAGACCGTGAATCAACTATTTAACTATGGCCCTGGGGTTGTTCTTAACATTAGATATATTAGATACGGGTAATATTTCACTAACCGTAAATAAGCCCATTTCGGGATGATTTGCCTTACTAAATATGATTCCAGTGAGGTGACAGTGAGGTCAGTATAATTTGCCCAAATAATATGAATCTGGTGGGGAAATGAATATTCATGTTCTAAGCAATAAGATCCACCATCCCCAATGGTAAACTGTAAATGGGTGGGATTCCAACAATCATAATATGAATATTGGATATGGGATTCAAGTGGGATTCAGCCACTTATAACCAAAAGTAACAATAAGAATGGATAAGCATTTTAGGGATATTGAACCTATATGGAGGTGTCCTAAGTCATGGGGATACCCCAAATCATCCAAGTCATTAAACCGTTTTAGTCTTAGTATTGAAACCCGTGGTCACTTGGGGATCCCCCATTTTAAGAAACCCCTATCTTAATGGTGTGGGGAAATGCATCTTCTGATTGTGGTTATGGATATGAAACATATCAATATACAGTAAATAGGTAATTATAAATAAACTAATGAATATTATGAGCTATGAACATTAAGACAAGGTGAGGCACACCAAGTTATGCGTATTGCTTTATAAGCCCATGAATACTATATATCACCCATAAGGCCCATAGTTGACCAAGTTTTCAGCCAACTTAACTATCTAGGCTCACCTTGTACGCGGAAGAAATCCTCCACCACTTTTGGATGGTTGAAACATGTTGAAACCCTATAAATACCCTCTGGTAAACTAACATAGCTATTGAAAAATGATGATTTTCCATAGTTATGTTAGTTTACCAGCGGGTAATGGGATGTTTACCATCAATTCCTGCAGGATTTCGCTGGCCCATCCATAGTATGAATGTGAATATGTGTTCTTTTACATGGATTTGTTTGAATGATGATGGAGGTATGTAGTTTTCCAGTTGATGATTCTATGGTCACTGTTTCTTCATGGTTAATGTTCGGGTGGGCAAAACATCTTTGTGTCTTTTTATGGTTAACAATATCAATTCAATGGGAATTTCAGGATCCTAAAATGGAGGTACTGTACCATATAAGGCCATATTTTGGGGGGGTATTCCCTTACATAGGCCTTACATAGGCCTTATATATGGAATCGGTACCTCCAATAAATCGGATCCTGAAATTTCCATTGATCAATGTGGATGTTAGGAAACGTTACCAGTCCGAGCTGGTTATGAATATGGAGGTTTCCTGACAGACCTAATTATCCCCAAATCATCCATGTTCATAGGGTTTTTCCGTTTATAAATTATAAACCAACCATTTGGGGATGTCCCATTTATATCCATTTATGGAAAGCTGCAAACCTCCATAATCCTCCATATATGTTTCAGAACCATATGATTATACATGATTTTGCATCCAATTATAGTCTACCCCAAAGAATGAAGGGTGTCATCCCAGTTCCCAAAGAAATTCGCACAGAAAACTCTAATATTCATTGGGTTGCCAAACATCATACAAAGTGGTGCCCCCAAGATAGCTAACTTGCTTCACAACTTTAATTTCACTAGGACTTATGGTAGATATATCGAACTAGTCAATGGCTTTAGAAACCAACAAACATAACTGACGGGGCACCACATCGTAAGTATGTTTTACGTGATAATCCCAATGTACCCTCCGGTAAAGCTATGGAAAATGGCCCATAAAAATAGTTAATTTACCATGATTTACCAAAAAAAAAAAGTGGTGGATCTTTCCAGTTCGTTTTTTGTTAACGTTGACCAGGCCGGGTAAATACCACAATTGCTTCAAGAACCCAGACGGGTTTATCCATGGCGACGATTTTACGACACATCCATGTCCTAAAAATGCACTATTTATTGATGAAAAAATCGCTCTTTTATGCTGTGAGGAGGATTTCCAATTTGGCTTAATAACCATAGACCATAACCATATCAAAATTCATGAAGTTTGGGGGTCTACTCCATTGACAAACTCAGTCGATATATTGTTGGCTATGGATCCCAACTGATATCCCCACTCTATTCTGGTTGGTGTTCACCTTGTTTCAAAAAACTCGCTCCCTATTCTAAGAACCCCAGATTTTTGCTTGGTCAAATCCTGAAATTCCTTGGTGAAACCCGATTTCTTGATGGTTATCCTCTCGAAAATGTTTAGATAGCTATGGAAAATCACCATTTTTAATAGGTAAATCAACTATAAATGGTCAATTTTCAATAGCTATGTTAAATTACCAGAGGGTAAATTCCAAATTGTCATGGTCAAATGCCACTGTTTCATGTTAAAAAAGCCCATGGATTGCCCTGTGATTGCCATGGCGCGCACTCCCGGTGGTAGAGTGCCGTTTCCACGCGATGACCTTCAAAGCTCAGGGCACCGACCTTCAAACAGAAAAAGCGAGCTGTGGGCTTCATGAAAATATGTATATGTATATATAGCATATAGATATATATAAATATATCATATATATATATATCATATATATATATATATCATATATATATATCATATATATATATCATATATATATAAATATATCATATATATATATATCATATATATATATATACCATATATATATATCATATATAGGTATCATATATAGATATCATATATATAGTATTGTGAGTAAATTATGAGTAACTAATATTATTTTTAATACTAGTATCATGATTTACTTGGTAATTTTAAAATATCTTATATATATATATACATATATATATATATATACCATATACCCAATTATATGATGAATTACTATGATGACATAAAATACTAATAATCTTTATAATATGTGTATATATGTATGTGTATATATATATAGTTACCCCTACTAACCATCATTCCAGTGAGGTCGCAATGAGGTCGTCATAATTTATCCAGTATGTATATATAAGTATGTATAGATATTATTATCACTACACGTGAAAAAAAATTGATAGTATACACATTAATTTGTATAATATGACATATCTATATAAATGAAAAATGTACGTATGTGTATATATATATATACATATGTATCTGTGAAGGTATAATGTATATATATACATATGTCAGTATCACATAAGATATAGTTATGCAACTATCTATCATATGTGTATATGATACATCATATAATGTATGCATACATGTGTATATATATATATCATGATACATTATGTATATATATATACTTATTGTATCTATATATTGTATCATATCGTATGAGATGAGTATGGGACACAACAAACTATCTGATCTATATATATATATGTATATACATTGGACATGACTATACATATACAGTCATTATGTATGGTCATGCCCCAAAAAGATTGAAAGCTAAATCATCATCAAATCATACATAGCAGTGAGTCAATGCTCTTTCTTCTGAGGATGACTAATAATTTCACAGTGACAGGGCATTGTGATTCTTGTTAAAAACTGGGATACGGTGTAATTTTACGGTTTATATATGTATATTGCAAATATAATGATTGAACAACCAAACGAGTAGTGTTTGAAGCTAAAACTTTTACCTTTTAAGCCTCGCCACCTTTCCATGAAACTTTTTCATGGGCCATGGTTTTCCTACACCTGGTCAGGTAAACAGGTTTAAACAACCTAGGGTTAAGAACACCATTTCGCCGAGGATGAAGCCCTGCAATTCTAATCATGACAGACCTGTTCATATGCTGACAGGTTGAAGCAGTAAAACTTACATATATATATATGAAATCATATATGTATATATTGTGCAGCATATATATATAATATGCATACATAGTTTCTGGATAATATTCTAAGTTTTCTAAGTTCTGCTTCGGGATAGTTACCTACTCATCTTTCCAGGATATCCCCACGTGAGATCGAGGGACCCACGAGTCGTTTGGACAACGAAATGACTGTAGTCAAGCTATGTCAAGCTTAGGGAAATGTTAAATAGTTCGTTGAATTTCCGACTAAACATGGTGATTTTCCATAGTTTACCATAACTATGGAAAATCAACGAACTAAATGGACATGTTCATTAGCTATGTTAGTTTACCAGAGGCTATGTCAAGCTTAGGGAAATGTTAAAGTAAAAACCATCCTTCTGAGAGGTAGACAACAAACAGTGTCAAATCTGTCCATGGCTGATCTTCGTTACTGCACAAAGTGTGATGAAATTTGCAAGTTGCTTGATTTTCCCAGAAAAAATAGCCGAATCAAAAACTTGACTCACTAACCTACAACAAGTTGGTTCATGGAAACATGTTTAGTTACAAATCAGCCATAAAACATCCCATCGGCTCCTTCCAACCGCCCAACTCACAGCGCGTTTGGTCCGCGTGCTGATTGAGGGGTAACCGTAACCCGACCGTGGACGACAAAAAACACCAAGACATTTCTCAGCGTTTGGCCAATTTCATGTGATCTTCACATTTTTCTGGATTAACAAAAAGATGAATAATGTGGGAAAAATTACCAACGCCATATGGGCCATATCCCCAAATTCATGTTCAATGGATGGGATTGAAATCCTCCTAAACGGTTTACCCCCATCCAATTCTCCAGTGAGAATTATATAGCAGCGACATGAGCTCATTACTCCATGCAGATTCCCCAAAAAACGTGGAGAATCCAGCAAGAGTTCGATGATTTTCCATGATTTGCCCATGAAAAACATGAAAAACCCGCTATAAACCCCTGGTTAATAACTGGACTTTTCGCCAGATACGATTGCTGAGCCCTTGCTTTTTTTTCGCCTGGTTGGGCAAATCGCTGAGAGCTTCAAAGCCTCAGCCGGTGTTTGAACCGCCCGAGTCATGGTGCTGTGCTGCAACTGGTGGATGTCCGGGATTTTATGGAAAGCACTTTATGACACGAAAAAACATCACACGCCAACATAGCCAGGTGGCTTTATATCTGTAAAAGATCTGTGGTCATCCTCCACCAGGGTTTTTGGAGGATGATCTACCCTCTGGTAAGTTGATGAAGCCATTGTCCATCCATAAAAGCGTAGATGATGGCTTCATTGATTTACTGTGCTGAAAAAAAACAAAATGTTTTTCCATATGTTAAACTTGAGAGGGGGACCACGAAAGGTAGGTAAGCAAAAAAGGAACCGAAGAAAAAATGAAGGGGAGAGGGCAGGGAAAAAAACATAAAGTGGAGTCTGGCAAAAGCGACGCGGCCAGTTTCTTTCCAAAAATATGAAGGGGAGTCTGGTAAAAGCGACTGAAAGGTTTTGGCGATGTGGTTGGGGTTGGTGGCGGTTGTGGTGTTGGTGGTATTGGTGGTGCTGGTGGTGTTGGTGTTATTGGTGTTGTTGGTATTGGTGTTGGTGTTGGTATTGTTTGTGTTCGTGTTGTTGTTGTTGTTGTTGTTGTTGCTGTTGTTGTTGCTGCTGCTGATGGTGTTGTTGTTGTTGCTGCTGCTGCTGCTGGTGTTGTTGTTGTTGTTGTTGTTGTTGTTGTTGTTGTTGTTATTGTTGTCATTTGTTGTTGTAGTTGTTGTGGTTGTTGTGGTTGTTGTGGTTGTTGTGTGTTGTTGTGTGTTGTGGTGTGTTGTTGTGCGTTGTGGTGTGTTGTTATGTGTTGTTGTGTGTTGTGTGTGTTGTGTGTTGTGTGTGTGTATTGTGTGTGTGTGTATTGTGTGTGTTGTGTGTGTTGTGTGTGTTGTGTGTGTGTGTTGTGTGTGTGTTGCGTGTGTTGCGTGTGTTGTGTGTGTTGTGTGTGTGTTGTGTGTGTTGTATGTGTGTTGTGTGTGTTGTGTGTTGTGTGTTGTGTGTTGTGTGTTGTGTGTTGTGTGTGTGTTGTGTGTGTTGTGTGTGTTGTGTGTTTTGTGTGTTGTGCGTTGTGCGTTGTGCGTTGTGCGTTGTGCTTTGTGCGTTGTGCGTTGTGCGTTGTGCGTTGGTGTTGTTGTTGTTGTTGTCGTGTCGTCGTTGTTGTTGTTGTTGCTGTTGCTGTTGCTGTTGGTGTTGTTCTTGTCGGTGTTGGTGTTACCCCTGCAGCGTTTTTGCTCGGTTCCGTAGTGGCCGAAAATCGTCAAATCGGTGGTGTTTTCGCGTGTTTTTGCATCGCTCGGAGCAAACAACACCGTAAATACCAATGTTTTTGGCGGGTCGGAAGCCCAAAACCACAGTATTTACGATGTTTTTTGCCTCTGGTAGTAAAAAGCATGGTATTTACAGTGTTTTTTGGCCAGCACCTAGCAAAAACACTGGTATTTACGGAGGTTTCACCATGTAGCAAAATGTGGTTTCTTGATCCGAAAAGAACAAAAATACTGTAAATTACAGTATTTTGAGTCTGCTCTTAGGGTGCGTGGGAGGTGTGGAGGGGGGGGGGGGGGGGTACTAAAATGACTAGCAATCTCCTGAAGAATCAGGTAACGGGGCTGGCCGCCCTCCCCTTTACTTCGTAAAGTAAAACTCAAGGTAGCCCCTCTGGAGCTACCTTTCGTGATTACCAGAGGGTAATATATGTTTCTATACATTCTGGTAGTTTCTATTCATGATTCTGAAAACTAAACAGCTTAGGTCGTGTGAAGAGAGCAATCTGACTGTTGCCAGCCACCAGTCAGCATGGTGGCGGGTGAAATCAAATAGGTTGTGAAATCATCAATTCGTAGTGCTCAAAAACTGTGATCCCAAAAATGAACATATCTTTGATATAGGAAATCATTTTGAGTGCTTGAGTGGTAATTTACCTTAGTAAATGGCAGTAAATGGCAGTAACAAAAAGATACCGGTCGATTTCTATACCTCCGCACTTCAACAACAAGGCCTACCTGGCCTACCCAACAGCGGACCTTTCCTCGCTCCGGAATTTCTAAGGGCCAATGTTCCGCAAAAATCACATTGAAGTTATATAAAGGTGGCCATGAAAATTATGAAAATAATAAAATCATGTTCTTTAAAAGAGCAAGTTGAAGGTGTTTAAGTAAAGTTAGACTCTCCAAGTAGCCATGAAAATTATGAACATTGGTAAGGCTAAACATCCAAAATCATGGGTATATTACCCCAGGTACTTGGAGGGTCTGCGGCCTTGACGTCCGATCAGTTCACCATATTACCATCATTTCCTATCATCATCGGTTGGCTAGCTGCACAAGGTGGTGCCCCCCTAGTTATAAGCTGGTTTATTCCCCATTGTATAACTATAGTTATATTCCCCCATAAACCCTAGATATTGGATTTATAAACCAACTTAGCTAACTATGGGGCACCACCTTGCATGCACAAACATAAAAGTGTTGGTATGTGTTTTGTCATTTCCACACTTGCAGGCTGTATCGAATTCATGTTGGGTCAAAAGCCTATGATGGTTGGTCAGAATCGGAACCCGGATCCATAAGTCTATGGTTGTTTGAAGCTGTCTCTTGGTGTTTCTTGTATCCCCAGGTGTGCAGTGTAAATCTACAATCTGTGCTGCTGATTATATGTGAGTGTGGGTTCCAAATTAGGTATATACGGTATATACGTCAATCTCAACCCAAACTCATCTCACCAACATTCTTGACAAATATCAACATGTTTCATGTTTTCCCTCCTGTCATCAAATGATGCAAACACTACCTTTTTTCCCACCTTGTTCACCGAGCAATTCATCGAAATTATTTCATTCGGAAATATACAATTGCCAATCATAATGAAATAGCCGTTGATATTGGATGATATTGGTATATTTATTGGTAATGTACCAGCAATATATTGCTATATTTCCTTGAAAAATCAGTTTCAATGGATTGGTTTTGTTGGGAAAATCTGAACCGGAAACCCATGGGTTTTTACCATCAAATATAGGGGTTTCCGGTTTAAATGTTCCCATCATCCAATTCTATGAAGGTTTCTAATTTTTGGCTGAAAATCTGCCATACTCCCCAGCGAAACTCCGGGCCACAAATCGGGCAAACCACTTGCTCCACTGCCACTTCACGAGCCTAGGGTGATTGAAATCGCCGTTCGTAACCAGGTTAAGAAAGGGATTGCAAGAGATTATTCCCAGTTGGTCTTAAAAAAAACATGAATACTATAATTATATCATGTTATATCCCCCATCCATCAACCCTAGATATTGGACAAACAATTGCACCAACAAAAAGCGTGAACAGCTCAAAAAAGGGCACCACCTTGTTGGGTAACCCCCGGACCATCAACCAACAGGGCGCTGAACCACGAACGGCGAACTCCGGGGTCCAATGGGTCCAAGGAACATGGTTTCGGGTACCCACAGGTTCAATAAACATTCACGATTGTCCCATATTATCCCTATGATTCCCTCAAGTGTTGTTGCTGAAACCAACAAGAACACCGTTCTCTAGCGTTTGAAGTATGGTAACCGACAGAATTATGGAAAAGAAACAAAACGTTCAACTTAGACAGGCGGCGCCTGCGTTCGATTTTTCCATAATTGGATGTTTCCCCATAAGGGTTCAAAATATCCCGGAAGTGATCCGAACCTTTTTTTTCCATAATTCTTGGAGGTGGACATTATTTCCATAATTGATTTTTCCTGTGAAATCAGGGGGCTAGGGCAGATTGACCGGTTTTTCCATAATTATTTTTTCCATAATTAATGTTTGGGGCTCCACCTGTTGGACATGTCATGGATCCACAATTCAAACCCGTTTTTTTTTGGGGGTTATGGAAATATGTATGCAAATGCAAGTATGTAGTATCAACCCAATTGGTGGCTTGGCAAAAGGAAACATCCCGCATATGTATGTACGTACAACAATGGGTTTACATGTACATACCCGTATACATGATATTATGTATATCAATGGCAGGCTTTAGGGGCATATACCAGATCTTTAGACACATATTTTCTATAATTCAATATTCCCCCCTTAAAATGCATTCAAATTGCGAACATCACATGATATTATGTATATCAATGGAAGACTTAGGGGCATATACCAGTTCTTTAGACACATATGTTCTATAATTCAATATCCCCCTTAAAATGCATTCAAATTGTGAATCGATGGACATACAGCCACCGACAGAATTATGGAAAAAAAATATGGAAAAAAAATAATTATGGGAAAAAAAAGGTTCGTAACTTTTCTATCATAGACAGGCGGCGCCTGTAAATTGAAACGTTTTTTTTCCATAATTCTGTCGGGTGCTGTAATGAAAACCAGGCGATCGGCGAGGCTGGCCGATCTTTGTGTCTGAATCCATCCATGCACACACAAAAAAAACTTAGGGCTAGTGTAATTGGTGAGTATGTAAGATTCCTGTAAGATCATATAAGGTTCATTAGGGTTAACGGTTAACATGGGCTAAATCATATTATAACAATAATAATAATATAAGATTCATTAGGCTACATGGAAAAATGGGCTGTATAAATTAAAATTGGAATAATTGGCAAATCATCATGATTTGGAGGTTTCCTAAGTCATGGGGGTACCCCTAGTTCTCATCAATTTTTCATAGGAATTTCCATTATATATAAACCACCCAGCCAGCTATTGGGGTACCCTCATGACTATGTAAACCCCATATATATATATACATATATGTATGTATATTTACATCCCATTCACATTAACATCCATTCACTATGGTGTTATATCTACCATAAACCATGGAATTCAGCCACTTTTCTAAGGCAACTTAGCCATTGGAATTTTTGGCAAATCCTGATTTCTGACATCAGAAAGCTGCCAGCCGCCAGCCTGATCCAGCACTTGTGTGCCCTCTTTCATCGGCTCAAAGGCTGGTGAGTCCATGGCTGCAGAACTCGGAGAAATGAAGAACTCGGATCGGTCAGAAATGCGACACGAACTTGGATGATTTTTCACAGGGCGCATATGTTGAAATATCTTGAAATCTAGATTCGTGGATGGCCCAATACTGGCATTTCATATTTCCGCGGCATGGATCCAAAACGGCTAGGGTCAATTTAGGTCCAAGACTTCAGAACAGGAGGTCACTTCCACATACAAAAATAAGGTATTGCTCAGAATTTCTGGACCTCCGAAATGTATTGCTTCATATTAGTTGTTGCTCCTACTGTATTCTACAACCATTGAAACCCCCATTTTGACCCATGCCAGCTCACATCGAGTTCTCTTTGCAATCAGGACTCGGAGCGATTCCTGATACTTTTGCCAGGGCTCATGGTTGCGCCAAATGTCAACTAAGGATGTTCATAAACCCTGAAATAAACCTTGGGGCCCAATTTGAATCTTCATAAGTTACTGACGATTCAAATTGGTAGCCCCTAAAAATCAAAAAATGGAGGTTTCAATAGGATTTTCCATGAAATAAACCATCCATTTTGTGGATTCCCCATTGATGGAACCCCCCAAAAATGGAGGTTTTAAACAGTTCCCCTGGGTGAACAGCAAGCTCGCTATCAGTTCCGGCCATCTGTGGACCATATGGAACCCAGGCCTGGCGCGGTTCCACTTTTTTCGATCTGGGAAACGGTTTTTTGCCGTTGAGATTAATATAGCAATGATTTATGTCCTTTTAATATTATCGTATATATATATAGCAATATAGCAATGATATATATAATGATAATAGTAATATTGGAAGTCATCTGGTTGGTGGTTGAGCCTAGCCCTCTGAAAAATGATGGACTTTGTCAGTTGGGATGATGAAATTCCCAATAGATGGAAAAATAAAATTCATGTTCCAAACCACCAACCAGGTAGGATATATAGGATGATCTATGGCAAGTATGTTTTTTTGAATGTATGAATATAAATATATACATAATAGATCATAATAGTTCATGAAATGATGCAGAAACTTGAGATATCCTATGAGCCCATTCATAGCCGTGCCGTTCTGAAGTTGTGTTGCTTGTGGGAAGATTTACTGGTCAAAACCTTGTACCCCTAAGGCCCCTAACATCAAAAAACCGCTGTATGTTGCTGGATGTTCATCCCTAAATAGATGCTATGTGTACAACTAAAAAAACATTTAAGATAGGAAAAAAATCTAACCTATATTCATTGTATATTACATGTGTATATTTCAGTTAAAAGGTATATAAAGTATTGATCCATTCCCAGGGGAAAATCATCAAACTCCATGGGATCTTCGTTGATTTTTCACGGTTTTATATCAGGTTGGAGGCATGGAACTGATAACTGGTTGGTGGTTTCTCGCCTAGCCCTCTGAAAAAAATGATGGACTTCGTCAGTTGGGATGATTTTCCATTCCCAACTGAATGGAAAGTCATAAAAAAACCATGTTCCAAAGCACCAATCAGTTTGAATTCTGGAGAATCCCAACCAGTTCGGGTTTCCGGTGGATTTTCCAGCCATGGTTTCCTGAGTTCATCCTGCAGTGCTTCCAGATGGTAGCTATTGATCCACACATGAAGCGCTGAAGCTGCACTGATTAGACTGGCCTTAAGATCATTAAGAACATTTCTTGGGGGAAACGCATCAGCAAAGTTGGTCGATCCACAAGTTTTCCCTGTGAAGTCTGATGTCATTGAAATATCCATCACTTCACAGCCTTGGATCCGCGCTGGGGACTTCGCCAGGTAGGTGGGGCTGGATCCCGTCCATGAGTTTCCTAGCCCAATTGTGTGGCAGAGGTCCAAGGTGGGAAGATCTGGGAATACAGCCATTTCAAAACGATCAATCATACTCCCATCATCCATGACTGATTATGACTGGTTGGTGGTTTTTCGCCTACCCATCTGAAAAATGAATAAAAATGATGGACTTCGTCAGTTGGGAAAAATTATTCTCAATATATGGAAAGTCATTCAAAATTCCATGGTTCCAGTCACCACCAAGCAGATGACCATGGTGCAACCCCTCCAGATCCCCCAGTGCTTCATCATCCCTATGAATCTCTGATGGCTAAAAATCATCAAAAGATGAACCCGAATTTTTTACAAAAACTCATCTTTTTAAAGATGGAAGAGATTCTATAAAATATGGATCCACATCAAATCCTAGATTATCTGGTTGGTGGTATACCCACCCCTCTGGAAAAAATGATGGACTTCGTCAGTTGGGATGATGAAATTTCCAATAGATGGAAAAATAAAATTCATGTTCCAAACCACCAATCAGTTGTCCATATTGTGATATCTATATAGCTGGTATTATCCATATTGGAACATATATCACATTGTGATATCTGTATAACATAGTTAACCATATTAACCATATTTCACTAACCTGAATTAAGGCCATTTGGGGATAATTCCCCTAAAATAAACCATTATTCCAGTGAGGGAGAGCAGTGAGGTCGTTATAATTTACCCAGATATATCCATGGTGAATCTCATTCTGAATCCCGGTTCACTCCACCAGGGCGACGATCTTGTATAGAGGTGGGGCCCGAGATTTTCGGGGAAATCACTTTTGAAACGTCATGGCTTAAAATAGATGGGGAAACTAGGAGTTTGCGAACTGCAAGCCATGGCCCATAGAAATAGTTCAGGTAAATCCATTAAAAATGGAGACTTTCCATAGTGATGGACAATTAATCCATTGGATGGTTACCCTCTGGTCATTTGTTACATTGCTATTGAACATGACCATAGAAATAGTGGATTTACCCATTGAAAATGGTGGATCTTTCCATAGTTATGTTAACGTTGACCAGAGGGTAGATGGGGGAATCGTGATGGAAAATCAATGGTGAATCTGTATACCAAATGATGTTTCAAATTCCGACGTTTCAAAGGGACGGGGACTTTGAAGAAATTTTCCAGAAACTTCACCAGCAACAAAAATCTTATGGATTTAGATTTAACTTGCTGAATCTCAAAAATCATGAAAAGAATTGCAAATGTCACCATCAGGAGTTCAACCAGAAACCCTCCGCGTAAACGCGCACGCTTCTTTCCTCTCATGAAATCCATGCTGCCCAGGAGAGCGGTTCTGTACCTGAAGGTTTGTGACTATGATACGTGGAAGTGAATATCAAAAAAATCGTTGATTCTTTGGTGACTTCACATGACAGAAAACCCCCAAAATTGAAATATGTCGTGACTAAATTACCTAAACCGCAGCTAACGGCCCAGGTATGTTTTGGTTCGGGGGTTACGTTGACATGTCCGAACAAAACGTTGGCTCAGGCTAAGGCCTGGAAGATCAAAATGTCGTAGCAAAAAAACATGGCCATACATACCATGGTCATACATACTATTTCTAATACTTGAAAAGTCAACACTTCCCAAAGACGATTTGGGAATGTCTGAACATAACCATGCGGATCGAGGGATAATGATGACTAACCCATGGATTTTGGATGATTTTGGGGTAGCCTGCTTTCAGACAAAGCCATGGTGAGGTTTGCATCATCTTAGAAGTCATCTGGTTGGTGGTATACCTACCCCTCTGAAAAATATGAGTCAAATGGGAGTATTATTCCCAATACATGGAAAGTCATAAAATTAATGTTCCAAACCACCAACCAGTCATCTTCCATCCATTTTTGGGGGAGATCTCGAGGCCTTTAGCCTCAAAACCTAGCAGGTTCAGAAGCATAGCAGCCTGGGAGAGTCAATCAACAGCAGCAGCGATCGAGTCGTCCGTTGTGGCAGGACGTGCATGAGGGTTTTCTTTCCGAGCGTCAGTCCATTCATTGTTTTTGGGTTGCTTAGAATCGCAGGATGGGCGGATCTGAATATGTTTACCCCTCCTACCAAGAAATTATACGAAATTATGGTGGTGCTTTACATTTGTGCATATACCATAACAATTGCATGGAGCTTATTGTCAATAGTTCCTTGGAATTGGGTGTCCTGTTTTCAGACAAAGCCGTTGGTTTTGTCATCATAATGTGAAACTCTGCAGGGGTGTCTGTGTGTGGTAATTCACCCATCTTTGGATCTAAGATCTTTAAGAGCGTCCAAAATCGAATAATGTGGTAAACCCGCCATACCTTCAATTTCGGGATTGCTATGTATGCCATTCTTTTGTGGCAAAATTGGGGATACAGTATATAGTTGGTGACATTGGGTTTACCACATTAATGCCTGTCCCAGTAGATTTCCCGTGTCTAGTGGATTAACCAAAAATAATGGATGTTCGGGACTTTTTCAGAAAAAGATCACGACAAGGTCAAAGACGTGTTTCAAGAAATCTCTATATACTAGTGTAAAGTGATGTAGTCGTGGACTTCCCCAAATTTCTGACGTGATGATATCCATTTCAGCGGAGGTGTGTCCAAAACCATCTTCTGGCGATGTAAACAACGGCCCTGGATCATGAGGACATGACTTGTGCAGTTTCACCCACCCGCTTCACCCATTTCAGATATTCTAACCCACAGCAAGCACGTCATGCTTAAACGAAAGTTGGCTGCTGCTGAAGCTAAAGCGCGCCGAAAGGGAGAATCAGCCAATGGCCCATGGGGTGCTGCCAAAAAGCTGCTGGAACGTGTCCCTGAAGTCGTCAAGTGTGTATATCTGAATAATGTTCAATAGTCCGGGGTTATCAAGCTATACTGAGTTATAGTGGTTATACATGCCAAACGTGTTCACCATTGTGAAGTGAAGCACCCCCAACGCCGCAAAAGCTAGGCCAACCAGCTGCAGTGAGTTGTCCAAAACTTATGGTACAGTAAAATCATCAGAATTCAGTGGTTTAAAACGCCGTTGACATTAGAATCTCTGCATGTTTTTTCACATCCCCCAAGAAGAGAAATTATCATAACTTGGACAATGAAATGATCATAATGTTTTTCACATCATAACAAGAGAAATCATTCCTTCTACACAATGTGGTGCCCCCGTTAGTTATAGGTTGGTATATAAACCCATCAAGTATAGATATATCTACCAAAAGTCCTAGTGAAATTAGAGTTTTGAACCAAGTTAGCTATCTTAGGGGCACCACCTTGCAGGTAAATACCCACTGGACGGATCCGTCGTCGTCTCTTGGCAACCCCCAGCATTTCCCCCACGGCCCATCTATTAGGCCAGTAATGCCTCAGCTGACGTGCGCCTCAAACAGGGCAGTGCTTGGCCTCGTTTCGACGCCGGGTTTGCAAAAACAGGGAACGCGAGCGTTGGAGCCCAAGGAATCACCAGAGAACATCAGCTGTTCCATTGAAAAATGGCGAGAAAATTCAGTCCCCTTGCACCCTTGCGCCTGCAAGACTTGGCAATTGTCACAAGGATTCAGCGTGGGGTGGAGACTGGAGTGAGCTAGGGTAGGGTACCATAAGCTTTCTCTATAAAGTCTGGGAATTCTGCTTGTTGGAAACCATTGACCTGTTGAAAATGATGACATTTGCAAGTGCCAAGTTGAGTTCATTGGCCAGTGAAGTGGACCTCGAACTGTCAGCATATGACGCCCACTTCAGGCACCATTCCAAGAAGGATCCAAGGATCGACAAACAAACAGCACAAAACATCAGCATTACATGCTGAAACTCTACATGAATATGAATCCAATCCGGCAGCCAATCACCAATATCGACATCCATGTCACGTCGTTTTCTACAAAGAAGATACGACTGGGGGTGCAATTTTAGGTTATTCATGGCTATAAATTATGGCAATAAGCTCCATAAGTTGGGATATAATCCCTACAACTACAGTTACATAACCCACTTATGAATAGCAGCCTGCGCCCCAAGTACACTCTCAAACATGTTGTTTTTTGCTGTCAAACATGTTGTTTTTTTGCTGTTTCTGAAAAAATCCTCCTTTTGTTTGCAAAAAGTTGGGACCCGCTCACCTACTCAACCGAGTTTTACCTAGAATATACAAGTGTCATGGGGGTATTCACCAATTTTCCATGTATCATGATCATGTTCATGTTTTCTTCTCAAAAGAGGGGCAAAGAATAATCATAAAACCAGAAATTGGGATATGTCTATAATAAATTACATAAAAATAGCTATAGATAAACCATATAACAACCATCAATTCATCGTCAAGGCACCAGGAAGCCAAGCATGACTTTGGAACCTTCCTCTGACTGGTAGAAATTGTACCCTTCGCTCCTGTTCCTGGGGCCAATGAGAGGGGCGAAGAGCAACCAGTTTTGAGGACTATACTTAATCCCTTCGAATATACCCCCATAAACATCATAAACCATGGTGGATGTGATTTCTATACTTCTTTGGAAGGTGTGGCCTTGTGGCACTGTACCAGCTTCCGGCCTTGTGCGGGTGGTGAATGGTTTGGGCTGGCTGGGTCCTGCCGGATGCGAGGATGGCCCTACTTCGATTTGCATCCCAAGTGATATAGCTAATAAGTGGTTATATATATATAGCTACCCTCTGGTAAACTAACAGCTATTGAAGCCATGGCCCATAGAAATAGTTCAGGTAAGCCCATTAAAAATGGAGACTTTCCATAGTTATGTTAGTTTGCCAGAGGGTATATGATATAGATCCAATATAATATCCAAAAACAACATATAGATCCATTATGATCCAATATAATACCCAATATCCAATATATACAGGTTTCCTAAGCCATGGGGGTGTCCCCAAATCATCCATTCATAGATGGATTTTCCATGAAACAAACCATCCAACTATTGGGGTACCCCCATTTTAGGAAAACCCCATATCCCATACATACATGCAATTCATGGGCTTAATCAGATTTAACTGACCTATGATCATGGTTATTAGCCAAATATACCCAGTGGAGTCTTGCAAATGGTGATCGATTTCTGTATCTGGGTTTGTCTGAAAATCGTGTACCCCAAAATCCATTGGATTATCATTTTCCCTCTTAAAGTAGCCATGTTGTTCGGTATACCCGATTTTCAGACACCTCTATTTCTTGCCTTTCATGGAACCTGGGATACATCGGTGGGCTAGTCCGGCAGATCATGTTGGTCAGTAAACCATCCCCTGTTTAGAGGCCCTTATCATTGGGATGACTATCGACTATCGGTATACCATTCTTCGGGTTGATGAAACATGACCCCCTCACAGTTGGTGAATGTCAATGGCAGCTGATGCTTCTGCGAGGACTGGATTTCACCACGGCTAACCACGGCTTAGCCAGGACTCAGTTTAGGCCAGTTTGAACACCGAAAAAAAACAGATATTTCATGGCCCAGTTCCAACATGTTCCAGCCGCATCTTTTCAATTTATATACAGGCTGGGAACCTGGGAACCTAACATCAAGCCTGTCCCATAAAATAACTATTGGGCAACCTATGGGGGAAGGAATTAAATCCCAAATTATTTGATTGTCCAGATGAAGAATCATGGAATTGAAACCATCAATCACTATTCTAGCAATTTCTTGCCCATATTCCAGGGCCGAACATATTCCATGCCAAAATAGCTGGGAAATTTCAGGGAATTGCGAAGACCCCTTTCAGGTGAAATTTGTATTTCATACAGTTTGCCAAGTGCTCCTTTTCTTCTGGCACGTACGTTGTCGACTGCACATGTTCTTCCCCAAAGAAGATCCTTACTTTCAACAATTTCTGGAAATTTCATAATAACGTTGAGCTTTCCAAAAATGGATTAATTAATAATGTTCTTATGGGAATTTGTCAATCTCAAAACCCAATTCATAAGCGTTCAGCTTATGTTCTGGCACGCTTGGCTGGCCTCACCAGCAGCGCCATCCCCATCTTTCTTGACATCTTTGTGGCCCCGCAAAGAGCTCTGCACAACAGAATCTGGGAACACAAATGATCGACGATCCTGTTTTCTTCCGTGCAATATAATTCCACCGATAGAGTATGATGCCACCCCTGGAGTGCGCTAATTTTCTGGAATGCGAAAATAAAACCGTATGCGTGGCCCCCTTCGACCTTCCCCATGGATCCAACACCATTTGTTTTTCATCACATACCAGGAAATTATCACACTCACCCTGCTGAGCTGCTGGACTCCTGTTTTTTTTGCCAACATGGCCTGGAATGCGATAGTATGTGAAACTACCGACGTCTCAGGTGGGAACTCCATCTTCCCCATATTCCAGAATACGTGATTCCAGGCCATTTTAGCCAAAAAAACGAAAAAAAAAAGTAAAAAACGTTTCATTTACCGAGTACGAAGACTTTATGGCATGTGCAGATCTTGCCGAGTGCGATGATTTGACAGTATGTGTACCTCCACAGCTGTGGAGTGCGATGCCCTCGCTGGAGGGCGAAGAAGTTGTGGAATGCGAAGAATTCCGAGTAATAGGGAAATTTCAGGGCCAGAACCAAAATTCCAATCCCGAAAGCCAGCCCAAACTTCCAGGGGCACACCAGAGGGTTCTATTTTTCCGGGCTCACCTTGGGTGAGGCCCCGGGGAAGAAACTGGCTAATTTTTACTTAGCCAACCTTTAAAAACGTTATCTTTGACAACCCTGTCCTTCTTCGGTAGACAAATGAGGAAACTCCCTTGTCAAAGCAGCCTTCAATTCATCCAACGTCCACAGCTGCTTTGGAACGGCATAGGGGATAGAAAGCTGTGGAGGGGCATTCAGCAACTGTTCCCTCCAGATTGAGCTGAAATGCCTATCAAAGTAACATACCAAAACCCAGGTCTGGAGTACGATGAAAACATGGTATGCGAAGATTTTCTGAATATGGGAATGTTGCCTCTAGAACTATACCATGTTTGTTTTCTCGTCATCCCCAACCACATATTTATATGTATATATATATATATAATTTTACCATATGGAGGTTTCGAAAAAAAAAAACGGGCTACCCCTAAATCATCGAATCGGAACTTTCCTCACCATCCAGCTATTTTTTCCTAGCCTGGATTTTTTTGGGGGGTTTCCACCCCCGAAAGTGAGCGAAAATGCGTTGCCGCAAGGAAACCGCCGTCCTATGAAGTACATCTCATTCTTCTTCTTCAAATCCTCGGGCAAGCCTTTGCCGAATTCCGCGAAGACTTCCGGCGTGAGTTTCCTCGCCACAGCTGGTGTGGCATGGCGTGGGGGTGATGTCAACCCCGGGTTATGTTTTCTTTTTAAAACCCCTGTGCTGTTTGATCATTGGGAAAGTGTATCATTGTGTGCGCAGATGACATCACTATGTCTGGGCAAGAGACGATTTTTAATCAACTAGATCACGGTTTATTAGACCTAGGGGTTGACGTTATATTAAAAGAAACTAACGTGATGTTCCTTTAAAAAAACAGAAAACAGCCATGTTCATCCGATTGCCTCAAAATTATGACCACATGAATATTGGAAACAACTCACCAAACACCCTGACAACAACCAGCATCAAACACCGGGACGATCCGCTTGCCGTTTGCAGCGAGGATTTCTGTTCAGTCTCAGGCACTCCATACTGTGGCTGTCAAGGAGTTCAACGAATGAACGTTTCAAGCAAGTCTATTCCAATATTTAAGTTATTTTATCCCATGTTCTGGATCTTTGATGATTTTTGGTTCAAGTCTGTTCAAGTTATCTCACCCGTCCCCAGGATTTTCGAAACCAAGTCGCTCATGGTAGTCCAGGATGTCGTGCATCGTGTCGCACCACAGCACCGGTTGTTTCACCATGGGCGCGTAGGGCTTCGCGGAGACCTTCTCGGTGCTCATCTTGATATCTTTACTGCCTCAGGCGCCGCAGCAAAGCAGCACGGCAGTTGCGAGTGGAGCCCAATTTTTTTGGTGACATCAAGATGTTGAGCCCCTATAGAAAGATATGGAGATGGTTCTGCCATGCTGTGCAAAAAGCGTTTTATGTCTGGCAATACTTCACCTAGAAATGGAGTTCGCGTGACCTAGAAATGGAGTTCGCGTGGGTTGGCTGTGCCAGGTTTGGAGCCAGTTCTAGTCATTCAAAAATTTCTGTATTCAGAGTCGGATCTTTTGAATTGGTGTAACTTATAAGGACCCAGTGGTTCATGGGACGCCTGTATATACATATATATTATACATATATATATATATACATATACATATATATATATACATATATCTATACATATATATCTATATATACATATATACATATATATATACATATATATTATACATATATATATATTATACATATATATATATATACATATATATACATATACATATATATACATATGTATATACATATATATATATTATACATATATATATACATATATATATATACATAAATATACATATATAAATACATATATTCATCAAAAAATGGTCACAGATGCTTTCTATTCCAAAATATTCCAAATGGTATTTATCTTTGATTGAAACATGGCTGTCGCCTCGTGCAAAATCTCAGCCACTAACCCCAATGAGGATTTCCAGTGGATGATACATCAGAAATCATGGGATTCGAAGCCAACCACCTACAGATATTTATTGGTCATCATACTCCCGTGGTATTGTAGCTGAAACCTACATATACGTCTACCTTCCAAACATATTTCTAGCCTAGCCATTTTACTTGCTTGCAAGGCGTTGTCTGTTTGCAAAAACATAAACTACCGAACGGCCCGAAAATCGGACCAGCGTTTTCATCATTTTGAAAGATCTGTCTTTCTTTCTTTCTGCTGAAAACCTGGCGTTTGCCACATGTCTACAATAATTTTGGTGCCCTTTGGTACTGCAATTCTATTGGGGATCTACCAAAAATCTATGTTTTATTGCAGTGGGAATTTAAAAATACATGTTGAACACCCTCAAAAAATGTTACGTTTTTTGGATGGTTTTGTGGTTCGCCACAGCGCCAGCATTTCTTTTCTCTTCAGACCAACTTGCGGACAGTCTTGGCAGTGATGTCGCAGACATCTGCATTCCTATGAATGTACCGCCATTGCCAAGCCTTGACATATGTCATGATCATTGGACTGTGGCTAGACAGGCTACCTGGCAGCATCTTTTTACAGGATTTCCAGGAACTATCTATTGTTCCAGTATGGGCAAGCACTTTTGGGCTACCTCACTGGACAGGACACACCGTCTTCGGAAATTGGCCTTTGGAGTGGTTCACCCGCTGATGCTGAACATTCAACTTATCTGCCACAGAAAACGCACCCAACATAACATGAAGTGTCTCCACCGAAGTACAGTACGCGTGTCCAACGTAACATGAAGTGTGCCCACCGAAGTACAGAAGACGTCTCCAACGTAACATGAAGTGTCTCCACCGAAGTACAGTAGACGTGTCCAACGTAACATGAAGTGTCTCCACCGAAGTACAGTAGACGTCTCCAACGTAACATGAAGTGTCTCCACCAAAGTACAGTAGACGTGTCCAACGTAACATGAAGTGTGTCCGCCGAAGTACAGAAGGCGTCTCCAACGTGACATGAAGTGTGTCCACCGAAGTACAGAAGGCGTCTCCAACGTAACAACGAAGAGACAGGACGTTCTTACACCCCCCACCCCCAATATCACAACGCAAAAAAGCGCAAAAACCCTGGGCCGGTTTTCGGGCCGGCATAAACTACCCAGTTCATTTTGTCGGTCGTCTCCCAATCAATATTTCACTTGAAAAGGGGGACATGAACACTTCAGGACGGCATCAGCAATTACGCAATCAGAATCTTCAACTTTTTTTAACACCCATAATCATTCTCTGCATCCTGGTATTCCTCATTATCATCTCCAGTGGAAGAGCGGAAGTGAGGGAAGTGACGCCAAGACACGTTTTCTGTGCACGGAGCTGATGATGCGGGGGAACATCAAGCCGTTTTTTAGTTGGATCTAGAAACATACCCTAGGGTAAACGTTTACATAGATGTGTAAAACCAATGGTTTCCCGCGGAACATGATCTACAAATGATGGGCTTCCACATCGAACTGTTAGTTTACAGGACGGTCAATGCAACTACAATGCCCACTTTCGCGAAGCTTTCGTGATGGTATCTCTCCACTTGACCCTGCAAAAGAACATGACTTCAAATTTGACGCTTGGGGGGAGAAGGGGGAGAAGGGGGGAGAAGGGGGGGAAGGGGGGTGGCCCGAAGAGGTTTGGGTGGGAATACAATGTGTATATATATATATACATATATTATCTATATATATATATACAGTATATGTATCGTTTTATATACTGATCATTATTGATATATCTCATATAATCACAGCGAACAACAGGGTTGGAGGCCCTTTCCAGCCGTGACCATGGCAGCTGTGATCGTTTTCCGCCAATCTGCTCTTCAGCATGCCTTGCTTCTCATACCTCGAAGACTTGAACCCTGGATGAATGGACACATGGGGTTTTCCTAAAATGGTGTACCCCTAAATCATCCAAGTTTCATTTATTGTCCATTATAAACCAACCATTTTGGGGGATCCCAATTTGTGGAAACCCCATGAAACCCCCGCATATCATCATAGTCAACCTTAGATACCTTGGAAAAAATGATGAAATGTCGTTGTTTTGCTGCTAAGTATCTTCCTCCGTTTCCTCCGCTTGCTGTGTAGCAAAATATCTTGATTCAATTATCGATTCAACTAGTGTCTAATAAAATACTAATTAGTTACTAAAATATACTAAAATATGGAACATTAGCATTTTATTAAACAAAATATACCATGGAAAAATATGGGTATGCTGCCTCAAGAATGGGGTGCCAATGGACTCACCCAATTGGTCATGTTTGGTAACCAGCCATTGTAGGGGTGATAACTTCGACTGCCCACATATCAGGAGTGATGGATGCAAAAAAGCGCCTGAATCAGGCAAAAAAAAGCGTCCTTTTGGTAAAAATATGTAAAAAAATAAAGGGGCCGGGAGCTGGTATACTATCTATTATCATTTATATACCTGTTGTTAAAGGGGTAACTTCAAACCCCTCTATTAATCAACCAATTGGAAACTCACCAGCCAGTGGACACCTTTCCGGGACCCCACAGACTGCAGCAAGGGGCCAAGCTTGGTTCTCCTCGAAAGCTTTGTCCAAAAGCTTCTTGTTGCCCATGCCAAACCTGTACGAGGTTTGGGTCCTCCCAGTTATGGGCGGGACATGTGATTCACATTCAGCCCACTTATCACATTAGTGGCTTCTAACCCGTGTTAACCCACTTTACTTTCACCTAGTTCAACGCATATTAACGCCACCCCCTTTTAGAGGTAGTTCTTGAAAGTAAAAAACCGTTCGTGAGGGCCCCTTACCTAGTATATAGTGGCTCCTCAGCAAGATTCAAGAAGCAAACATGCCAAGTCTTCTCAGTCTGCAGCAAAAATGAACTGCTGGGGTTGAGCCGATTCTTATATATATATATTAAATACTTAGCAAATTAAAGAGTCAAGAACTGGCAATCACGACAATGCCGGAACCTTGATCGAGTTCATCAAGATTTTGGGGCCAAAAAAATGACATGGGGAATGGGGAAACTCGCCAAAACCTCCTGGATAATTTTTTACCCGCCAGGGAATCAACATCGATCTGGAAAACGCACTGTGTAATTTTTTCTTGGGATGTCGATTTAGAGCGCCTATGGAACAACATATCCATAAAACCTCCGGAAATATGTGGGGATCTTGTTGGGGCTGGTAACGGCCTGTCATGTCAGTTCTATAGATCAAACATCTCAGAATGCCCCATACCGTCTGGTAAACTAACAGGTTGCTATGGAAAATCGCCATCTTGAAGTTCGGTAAATCAACTATTTCTATGGTCCATGTTCAATAGCAAACCGTAACAGTCATTCCCAGAGGGTGAATCCCATGTGAATCCCATCTATAGATGCCATTAAAGTCCATTTTCTATCCCATTAACCACCTATAAATAGGAAGGGTAAATCCAAATTGTCCAGGTAAAAAATCCCCATTTGTTACGGATGGAGTCCCCGTCCCAGCCCTGGTCATATCCGGGACCGACCATGTCATGAATTGCTCAGTCCTTGGACAAAAATCTCCCAAAAAAGAAGGTGTCCACTGGGCTGATTCAAGGGGAATATGATGCTAAATGGAAGTTTCAGGTTTGGACCCCCAAACTCGAAGTAAAAGGGACCTCATTCCAAATGATGGGATATAATGGGCTTTCCTGCGCATGCTCCATGATGATTTTCTGTGATTTTACAAAATGTGTGGTCTTGCCAAGGCGCAGGTAAGGTCGATTGCAGAAGGTTCCAGGGCCGTGAAAGAGATTGGTCGTGACCCAGGCAAACACATTTTTGAACTTCTCCTGCTGTCATGTTTGTCTGGGGCCATGGCGCACAGGTATGGGTTCATGTCGAAACCCCAGGCGGTGAAAATCCCAGGATGTTCACTTTGTATGGGTCAAGTACTGAGATCAATTGACCCAGGCTACTTTTTTTTCATGTTTTTTTTGTGTCAAAAAAGCGTTCACTTTTTGGTTGACCAATTTTCACACTACCAGGATACAAATCCTAACTCACAGGTCACACTGAACGCTGTTCCAGCAATCCAGTGCCATGAATAAGGAAGATGCTGTTGGGCAGCACCTCATGGTTTGATCTGCTGGGTCTCCGCGCCGGGTAGAGGGCGTTGGCCTTGAAGAAGGACACGCCGGAAACGCAGAAAGGGAGCATTGCCACCTGCGCATCCCAGGCATCGTATAGACGGGGTAACCCGGGTAAGCCGCCAATTCCACACCTTGCAGTTCTTCAAAACTGCATGGGAGTTCACCCAGTCGATCACACCCACGGCATCCTCACATGGGCGGAGCCCCCCTTTGGGTCTTCCCAGTTGCTTCAGGCTTTCTAAATACCTCAAGGATGATTGCAAAAATATTTGGGAGCAAGTGATGCCTGGGAATAAATAAGGAGAAAATCATGGGAAATTCCACTGAAACGACTCTGCCGAGCAGCCTGGAACATTGGCTGTAGCTACAGTTTCAGACTGTGGCAGCGACTCTGGAAGGGTTTGCATGCTTTGGAGATAGCACTACCATTTGAGCTGCCTGGTCAAAAGGTCTCTTTGTTGGACACTGTTGAAGTCGTGTTGCACTTGAAACGTATCTGACTTCGTGCACCATGAACATCACTTCGTAACAGTTTGCGAATCTACATCGGTCGTTCTTGGTATGTCTCAAAATGGGAATCAAGTTCCACGAATGTGGCGACCAATATACAAAAGGACTGCACCCCGATGATTCTTACAGAGAGGGAAAAAAAACGTGTTCAGCCCTTGTCAGGACAAGACCGTCAAGTCTGCTTTTGGCCAGACCAGGTACCAAGCCCCCAGCATGTCCCGAAAATGTGTGCGCATCCCTGCATATTCATCAGTCTGGAAGTCACTGGTTAGGTTGCCCGTGCAACTTTGGACAAACCAATATGTTTGGTCAAACCTTATATTAGCTTGGTAACATACCCATGTTAAACTTACTACAACTTACTGTTGACAAACTGGTATGCTGCCCAGTAGTACTTCCTAAACAAAAAAGAGAGGTCGCGGATCTACAAGTCCCAGATGCTTATTGTGGATGGGATTTTTTCGGCGAATCTCGATGTTTTTTAACCAATCAAACGGCGACTGAAAACGAGTCGAAAAGAGATTATGCCAAGGATCCATGTATTCAATCTCCCCAAATCCCGCAGGCAATCGCTTCTCGGAATCCCCGTGATTGCGAAGATCATATGCCAGGACCTCCGGCGAAAAAAAAAATTCAGGCCCTGCGACCAGTGAGACCCTGCAACAGAAATCAGAAATCACAGAGAAGATTTCGAAATCTCATCCTATGTTATGGGTACGTTATGGATATGTTATGGATACAGCAATCCATATGTTTTCTTGACAAGTTTGCCCTTTGCATTCTGAAAGATTTGAAAAAAAAACAACTGCCAGGCCCGGGGCGTGGTATCCTGCATCGTACAAGACCTTGTGCAGTTTCACCTGGACATCCCACAGTCCCATCGACTCCAGGCATCACGTGAACCAATAGCAATGTGTGCGAACCGACCATGGTTTTGCGCTGTTTTGCGTATCAAATATATGGTGGGTTCCTGAAATGGGGGTACCCCTACTGTTGATGGAAGAAATCCGGCACCACTTTCAAAGGCCTACACTTGAAACCTCGCGCTCCTAATTTAATATTGCTTGAAGACACAGTGATCAAAATGGATTTGTGCGAGTGACGGAAATCCTGCACCACCTGTTAACATGTCATTCAAAATTGAGCTTGAAGGGGGTACAAGTTATGCATTAGCAAATGTAAGGTTATAGAGGTGGTGCATGATTTCTTCCACCCACCGTAGTTCTCATCAATTTTAGATTGGGATCTTCCATGAAACAAACCAACCATCCATTGTGGGTACCACCAGTTTCGGAAACCCCCATATGTTGACTCGCGAATTCCAATCCATTGATGTTTGATTGGCCATAACCTCAGTGATTATCGCCATCATCACATGGGTCTTCCCCATTGTCCAAAAGGGACACAGAGGGGGCCCCCAGAAAACTTGGACGCTGAAGCAGCTTCAGTCATGGGACTGGGGGATAAACGCAACCTGAAAAATAGTAACGTAGTAGACCCAATTCTATATACACATATAGATAAACATATATATATAAGTATATACAGTAAACATATGTATATATGCATGCAATAAACATGTGTGTGTACACGCACCATAACCCATCCCCAATATGACCATAAATGGCTGGTATAGCCCAGGTCTATGGTAGCTAGGGTTGCCATCCTAGAATTGTGACGGGCTGTCCCTACCTCGTTTCACAGCCGAAAAAAAAGATGTTTTCGACAAAAGGGGGCCCCAAGACTACCATCCATTTAACCAAATAAATGCCCTCACTTATATATATATATGTATATATATATATACATATCCAAACAAGTTTGTGATATTCCACACATTAAAATATTATATGTAAATCACGTGTATATTCCAATATTGTCCCAAAGATTGCTGTTTAAAATCAATGGACCCAGTAATAAACCATACCATTGACCAACCATGTGGGGTCATGTTACATCATCCCAAATAGGACTTACATCCAACCTCATCATATTTCATATACCTCAATCGGGCATGGTTTAAATATGTTTATAAAGATATATATATATTATAAAATATATTATATATTTTAAAGATTATATTATATATATAAATATTAAATTTCAAATATATGATATATATTAAATCTATTCAAAACTTTAAACATTAAATATTATATATATAATATATATTATACAAAATATAATATTATATATATATATTAAATGTTATATTGAATAGGTGATATGTCTTATATATTATTTAATTGTATCTATTACAAAAGTAAAACAAATTAAAGGTATTATTTTATCATTTATATTGAAAATAATATATATTAAATATACACTATATATATTCTAAATTATATATTAAATTATATATCATAAATAAATATGATATATATATATATCATATATACTATATATCAAATATTAAATATATATATATATTATATTATTATATATATACCACATATATATTATTTGAATTGTTTTGAATATATGATATATCTTATGCATTAATTTAAAAAATATTCAATATTATATTTAATATATATTATAAATAAATGATATATATATATACATATAAATTATATATTTTTTAAAAAAATATATATACTATATATATTATATATATAGATTATTTTTGAAAAAATATATATATATAATGTATTTTATATATATATATATCATTTTAAAAAAACAAATATCATATATATGATATTTGAGAAATGATATATATGATATATTTGATTAACATATATGTTATATATAGTACATACTTTATATATATGATATATATATATATTATATAGTATATACTTTATATATATATATCTATCTATTTTATACAGTTTTAAAGAAATTAATATGTTATACAAAATATAAAAATTATAATTTAAATATATATATATATTATATTATATATTTTTTATATATTATATACATAATAAATATATATATATATATTAATTCTTGTATATATTTATATATGTATCATGCAAAGATCATATATCATATAGTATAAATATATATTATAATATGTCTATTCATAAATTAGAATTTATATATTGTGTGTATATTTTCTTTTTTATATATGGCATTGAGTTTTCCACATTACCATAACTTGGGAAATTTGACCCCCACAAGACAACCCCAGTGGCATAGTCGATGGCCAGCACGGTGGCCCAGCCGTGACGCAAGTGCGTGACACAGCCGCTCCTGGACGCGCGGTTTTAGCGGGGGAAATGCCAAGATCTGGGACAGAAAAATCAGCCAAAAGAAGCTGGGAAAATGTGGGGAAGATGAGGTTTGAGGCGGGAAATATATGGAAAATAGAAGGCCTGAAACTTCCTAGGGAATGAAAACCGATGAAGCCGAATGAAAATGGGCTGTTTTTGGTCCACATCTTCAGACAAGATCTTTTGATCCTCGGGAAGCTCTCCAAGGAGGGGAAATTCTCCCTGTCCAGGTTGGATTTTCGGTCCAAATGGAGCTTCCCAGATCTTCCCGGAGACAAACAAAATATCCCGGCAAGAGACCCCCAAACTGAGAATGTATTAACATGTTGATGATGTTTTTCCCGAGAGCGTCTGAGCGCAGGGTTCTTCCAATAGTGGGGGTCTGTTTCTCATCTTCTCATCTTCACATCTTCTCATCTTCACATCTTCTCATCTTCACATCTTCTCATCTTCACATCTTCTGATCTTCACATCTTCTCATCTTCACATCTTCTCATCTTCACATCTTCTCATCTTCACATCTGCTCATCTTCACATCTTCACATCTTCACATCTGCTCATCTTCACATCTTCTCATCCTCACATCTTCACATCTGCTCATCTTCACATCTTCACATCTGCTCATCTTCACATCTTCTCATCCTCACATCTTCACATCTTCACATCCTCACATCTTCACATCTTCTCCTCTTGCCTTCTTGCCCTCTTGCCCTCTTGCCCTCACATCTTCACATCTTCTCCTCTTGCCCTCTTGCCCTCTTGCCCTCTTGCCCTCTCCTTCTTTTCTATTTCTCTTCTGAAGGCGGGGGCAGGGGCAGTGCCAACGAGACGGCACGAAACGCAACCCTTTCGCACGAAACGAGGTTCGATCGTCAAAAACTGAAGTAAAATTGCGATTCCAACTTGTCCCGCGCAACCCTTTCGCACGAAACGAGGTTCGATCGTCAAAAACTTATGTAAAATTGAGATTTCAACTTGTCCCGCGCAACCCTTTCGCACGAAACGAGGTCAAAAACTGAGGTAAAATTGCGATTTGCAAGTCGTCCCGCACACCCTTTCGCACGAAACGAGGTTCGATCGCCAAAAACTGAGGTAAAAGTGCGAGTTCAAGTCGTCCCGCGCAACCCTTTCGCACCAAATGAGGTTCGATCGTCAAAAACTGAGGTAAAAGTGCGAGTTCAAGTTGTCCCGCGCAACCCTTTCGCACGAAATGAGGTTCGATCGTCAAAAACTGTAGTAAAATTGCGAGTTCAAGTTGTCCCGCGCAACCCTTTCGCACGAAATGAGGTTCGATCGCTAAAAACTGAGGTAAAAGTGCGAGTTCAAGTTGTCCCGCGCAACCCTTTCGCACGAAATGAGGTTCGATCGCCAAAAACTGAGGTAAAATTTCGATTTCAAGTTGTCCCGCGCAACCCTTTCGCACGAAATGAGGTTCGATCTCTAAAAACTGAGGTAAAAGTGCGAGTTCAAGTTGTCCCGCACAACCCTTTCGCACGAAATGAGGCTCGATCGCCAAAAACTGAGGTAAAATTGCGACTCCAAGTCGTCCCGCGAACCCTTTCGCATGTGAGCATGGCCGGCCTGTGTGTAAAAGCGTCTGTGTGTAAAAGCGTCTGTCTGTAAAAGTGTTTGTGCAAAATTGTTTTTGTGTAAAAGTGTCTGTGTGTAAAAGCTTCTGTGTGTAAAAGCGTCTGTGTGTAAAAGCTTCTGTGTGTAAAAGCTTCTGAGTGTAAAAGCGTCTGTGTGTAAAAGCTTGTGTGTGTGAAAGCGTCTGCGTGTAAAACTGTCTGTGTGTAAAAGCGCCTGTGTGTAAAAGTGTCTGTGTGCAAAAGTGTCTGTGTGTAAAAGTGACGCTTCTGTGTGTCAAAGCTTCTATGTGTAAAAGCTTCTGTGTGTAAAAGCCTCTGTGTGTGAAAGTGCGTGTGTGTGTGTGTGTAAAAGCATCTGCGTGTAAAAGCGTCTGTGTGTAAAAGTGTCTGTGTGTAAAACCGTCTGTGTGTAAAAGTGTCTGTGTGTAAAAGCTTCTGTGTGTAAAAGCGTCTGCGTATAAAAGCTTCTGTGTGTAAAAGCTCCTGTGTGTAAAAGGGTCTGGGTGTAAAAGTGTCTGTGTGTAAAAGCTTCTGTGTGTAAAAGCGCCTGTGTGTAAAAGCGTCTATGTGTAAAAGCGTCTGTGTGTAAAAGCGTCTGTGTGTAAAAGCGTCTGTGTGTGAAAGTGTCTGTGTGTAAAAGCTTCTGTGTGTAAAAGCTTTTGTGTGTAAAAGCTTTTGTGTGTAAAAGTTTCTGTGTGTAAGAGCTCCTGAGTGTAAAAGTGTTTGCGATGCAAACTATTGTCGTGTACTTGTGCTATATTGTCTTGATACTCCTCTTCTTGTCTGCCTATAATACATCTTTAATATATTGTTTTGTCATATGGTGTCTCCATACTAACAAGAGAAGACCCTGCTCCTCTACGCTCTCGGGCCGTCCGTCGTCTAGTTAATGTTGATGATGATGATGATGGTGATGATGATAATGATGATGATGATGAGGAGGAGGAGGAGGACGAGGATGATGATGATGATGATAATGATGATGATGATGATGATGCTGATGATGACCTTGATGATGGCGATGGTGATGATGATGGTGATGATGATGATGATAGTGATAGTGATAGTGATAGTGATGATAGTGATAGTGATGGGGATAGTGATAGTGTTAGTGTTAGTGATAGTGATAGTGATGATAGTGATAGTGATAGTGATGGGGATAGTGATAGTGTTAGTGTTAGTGATAGTGATAGTGATAGTGACAGTGATGATGGTGATGATGATGATGATGATGGTGATGATGATGATGATGAGGAGGAGGAGGGGGAGGAGGAGGAGGAGAGGAAGATGATAATGTGGATGTTGAAGAGGAGGAGGGAGATGATAATGTTGAGGCGGAAGACCGATCCCAAGACCGGGAAGCACACTTGGTGCGAGCCTGCGCAGTCGAAATGCACATGGACATGTCACAAGAGGCATTTTGTGCAGATATTTACAAGGAAAATGCCGGACGCTAATCCCGGGGCACGCATTTTGTGCGAGCCTGTGTAGTCGAAATGCACATGGACATGTTCACAACAAGCATTTTGTGGAAATTTACAGGGAAAATGCCGGACGCTAATCCCGGGGCAAGCATTTTGTGCGAGCCTGCGCAGTCGAAATGCACATGGACATGTCACGAGAGGCATTTTGTGCGGAAATTTACAGGGAAAATGCCGGACGCTTCCGATACCACCTCGATTGAACACCGGGCCTTAACAATTACCGTAAGAACCCCTCAGTGTGGACACACCGCTTGGGGAATGAAGAACCAACAACTCCTCCTCCCAGTCTCTGCTTTTTCTGACATGACCACGAAAAAATGAGAAAACAAAATGAACCAAACTCATTCGCCATCAGACACGAATAGAAAGGCCATCAGGCGTAAATGTTTCAACATGGCAATCATGAAAGGCCTCCTACTTACTGCTCCATGCAAAACAAGTGAATCAATGGGATGTGCATCCAAGCAACAAGATCGAAGAGCGACAGTGCTCTCGCCAACCATGGAAACACCATCAATGAGGAAGGGTACATACCCTCTGGTAAACTGACATAGCTGTGGAACATGGCCATACATGGCCCATTTATCGAAGGAAGTTTAGAAGTCAAACTTCAGACAATATGGACAGATGAAAAGCAGAGATGGGAAGAGTCAGAAGAGTAGAGAAGAGAAGAAGAAAGAACATCAAAAAAGAATAAAAAAGAGAAAGTCTCAGAAGGAAGAAGATCCAGGTGCGCGAAAAGGTAGGAAAGTCGCGAAACATTGTGTTTTTCCAATGATTAGCTCCGGAGGGTCGAAAAGTAGGCTCGCTAAAGCGGCGGGTGCGGAGCCAGCTGGCCAGATGAGAGATGAAAAATTGCACGCCGTTGTGGCGCGAAGCACATGTCCAAGTCAAAAGTGCAAAAAACTGACGGGTTCGGAGCACTTTTGGAAGTTGCGATGTCGAAAAAGTGCACGCCATTGTGGCGCGAAGCACATTTCGAAGTCAAAATGTACAAAACACACGATGCCCGGACCACGTTTGGAAGTTGAGATGTCGAAAAAGTGCACGCCGTTGTGGCGCGAAGCACATTTCGAAGTCAAAATGTTAAAAACACCACATGTTCGCGCCAGTCAGAGCATGCTGTACACAAGCACGTGCAAACTCGCAGCACTTTTGGACGTTGAAGTGTCGTTTTGCGTGGCAGGCACACGGGATTGTGCACCTTGTCAAAAGTGAGCAAAACGTGAGGGTTTTGTAGCATTTCCAAAAACGATGGCAGGCGTGGGACATTTGAAGAGGATCTGCAAAGATGCATTTTCCGTGGCAGGCGCAGTACAAGAGACATGTTCATCAGAGCTGTTAGGAGGTCCGGGCGCTGATTTCCTGAGAGGGGTTGCATTTTGGAGCATCAGATCTTCGGTTTTGCTGAGATGATTTGCGTGACAGTTGCAGCACTTCGTATGACCTGGCATCACTTTTTCGTGGCAGGCGCAGTACTTTAGACAGGTGGAGTGGAAAAATCGCAAAACGCATTGGTACGAGGCCGTCAGCACTGCACTCAACTTTCCATTTTTGAAGGAAGTCTCTCAGAATTGCTTCGTTTTTGATGTTGTCAACTTCGAGAAATAAGGAAGTCTCGCAGAATTGCTTCGTTTTTGACGTTGTCAAGCTCAAAAATTGAGGAAGTCTCGCAGCATTGCTGCGTTTTTGATGTTGTCCAGTTTGAGGAAGTCTCGCAGAATAGCTTCGTTTTCAAGCTTGCAGATAGACAGATAGATAGAGAGACAACTACAACTGCAACTACAACTACAAGTACCACTACACTACACTACTACTACAACTACAAATATACTACGCGACATTACACAACACTAATTACACTACGCCACACTAATTACATCTAATTACGCTACACTACACAAATTAAACTACAACTACTACAACAGCTACTACTACTACTCCTCCTCCTCCCCCCCTCCTCCTCCTCTGTCTACCACCACCACCACCACAGCTACAACCACAATTACAGCTACACTACATCACACTTCAATGCACTAATTAAACTGCAGTACATTACAGCTACAAATGCAACTGCAACTACACTACATTACACAACACTACACTACACAAATTACATTACATTGCGCTACAATCCGCTACAACTGCAACTACCACCACATCGCACTACACGACACTACACTACAACTACAACTACACTACTTTACACTATAATACACTAGACTACACTACACTTTACCACGCTACAGTACACAACACTACAGCACACTACAATACACTACAATACACTATACTAATTACACCACACCACAACTACAACTGCAACTACACTACACTAGTTACACTACATTACAACTACAACTTAAAACTACAACTCCACTACACTACAACTACAACTACACCTACAACTACAACTACAACTGCACTACACCACACTACATCCAGCAGTTGTGGTGAGGTGACCACTGCAACCATTGCAGCCACTCCAGAAAACACAACTCCAACCACCTTTCGGTCCATCAGTGGATTTGCTCTGCCATCCGTGATTCACAACAGTCACTCTCTCCTATAGGTTTCCTATTTTTGAAACTTCCGCCACTGCCTTGTGCGGTACTACTGGTAGTTGATTTACCTATTAAACATAGTGATTTTCCATAGCTATTTTCGTTTTACCAGGCCGGGTATTCCAAGCATCGATGAAATGCAAGGACTCCAGTGGGCATGTCGATATAGCTAACCCTTACCGCGCCACGCCAACCCACCCGAAAGGAACACCGAGGCGCTTGTTGGCACATGCCCAACTTTGATGCCCTACGATGGCCAATTTCTTTGAGCTTTTGTCCTTTGCCTCAGAGGATTTGGGGCGAAATGTGAAAAACCAGTGGACCCATACTTTATTATACTTTATTGGTGATGGTTGGTATCTAACCATCCTTTTTTGGTGGTGTATGATCTTGCTCTGCACTCATAGCAAACAACTCCTGTCCAACGCTTCCACGCATCCCAGTTGTCCATGGCGAATAAGAGCCCCTGTGGGCTTTATCACTTGAGAACCACCTGAAAAGTAGGGCCACCATTTCCCCGCTCCATGTCCGAGTGGCTGGGATATACCACGCAGCCAAAGTGCACCCGTCCATGGCTTTAAAACGGACGTCCTCGAAGTCCATCCCATACGCCAGGGGGGTCCGGACCATCTTATCCTTGGAGCGACCAACGCGCCTACACATGGCCATGATATTTAAGTATGCACAGGATCTATGTAATACTGTGTTTCACATGGATCACAAAATTAATACGTAGTAAATGTATACTGAGAAATGTTTTATATATCATCTAGATGTATTACGTAGAACATGCGTATTAACAACCAGCTGGCTGTTCCCCATTGGTGTCACCCCAGTAGGGCGTGCTGAATTCCAGAAAAAAGTTGGTTCTTATCGATGTGAGTAGCCCCCCAAATGTATCCATTATACATATATATATACATATTACATATATATATATACATATATATATATATGTGTATACATATATATATATATACATATATATATATATACATATATATATATACATATATACATATATATATATATATGTATATTGTGGGCCCGTTCTAACAAATACCCATATCAACATGTCCATGTCTACTATGTCAGAATCAACATACTTGTAAAATCTACAAATGCCTCCAACTGCATGTGGATCTGGTTGGTGGCTGGGCAAGCCACCACAAACCCAATTGATTGGTTGTGCAATACCTCTCTTTTTGTACGGGGCACTTTTGATTCTACAGTATGTGTATATATATATATATGTATGCATGTACATACGTATCACATGCATATACATATATAAAGTGGCTTCACACCGCGGATACGTCAACGGATGGTTCAAGCATGAAGAAATCACCAACTTGGCGCGCCGCACCCTTTCTACGCTGATGGCACGAGGAATTCACTGCTCTGAAAGCTTTTCATGTTGGTCGTATGTGACCCATAGGTATATAACTACATGATAGTTATATATTGATATACAGTAATCATATGTATATATATATATACATACATACATACATACATGTATAGCTATATAACCATGTACATATTGTCAATTACATATTTTATATACACACAAGCGGTCGACGTCATAGTTTAAGCACATAAACCATCAACTCAGTCGGAAATGAGTGGCTGCCGTGCTGCGGTCGGCGGCCAATATTTCACTAAGCTGAATTAAGGCCATTTGGGGATGATTTCCCTTATTCACCATGATTCCAGTGAGGTCGCAGTGAGGTCGTTTTTTCTTTTACCTAGATACATATATATATATATATGTAATATATATATATATAAATATATATATATTGCAACTGCATACACCGAAATATGTTTAAATAGACATGATTTTGATGCACCGTTTAGTTGTCATCATCGAGATGTTCAGCAAAATCATGATGTCATAGAACGTGTAAAAACGTCTTTTTTGTGTGTGGTGCGGCCAATTTTGCCTTGGTTTTCCGACTTGTTTTCTTGAATAATAAACTCATGAGGCTGTTTGCATTATATACCCTCTGGTAATCTAACACAGCTACGGAAAATCAAAACGTTTCATGGCTAAATCCTCTATAACTGTGCAATTGTCCATAGCTATGTCAGATGACCAAAGGATATATTACTGCTATATGTATCATATCACATCGCATCACATCATATCATGTGTATTTATATATATATATAGGGGGGGTTCCTGAAATAGGGGTACCCCTAAATCATCCAATTTAATAGGATTTCCCCTTCTAAACCATCCATTTTGGGTATCCCCATTTATGAAAACCCCCATTTATGGATTCTGCCACCGTTTGGTGTCGGGATCATCGCACAATTTGCTGAGCGTCGGTGATGCCTCCAATCCAGGTGCCGTCCATAACGACATGGGCCTCAGCGAGAGCGAAAGGTGCCAGAAAAGCCAAACAGTACAGTTATGGGAAAATCCAGCAAAAATCATGGGAAAGGTTATGGTTAGTTTGGTTAGTTCACATGTAAAAAAAACAAAAAATGGGAAAGGTTATGGTTAGTTCAGCTATTACTAAGCCACAAGCACGTTTCCTGGCACCGCGCCTCACCGAAATGTGGGAAAAGCCGCTGGGAGGCTCGAAACTCCATGTGAATCCACGGCAGTCAGAAGATGATTTCATCAATACGAAATGGTGGTTTTCCGGAAATGGGGATGCCGCCAATTGGTTTATTTCATGGATAATCCTAAACTATTTCATGGAGAACTGGGGGTACCCCTATGACTCAGGACACCTTTAAGCACAAGCTGATATAACTGAGCTGAGCTGATTTTTTTCAATCTTCTCCATTCCTCTGCAGTCTTCCGTTCAAAATATGCCATCTTCCTCAAATGGAGGTTTCCTGAAATAGGGGGACCCCTAGTTCTCATCCATTTTATTTTAGGATTTTCCATGAAATAAACCATCCAGCGAGCTTGGGGTACCCCCATGACTATGGAAACTCCCAAATGATACAGTATCCTTTAAAAACAAAGCCTGCCACAAAACGCAGTTTGCTTCCAACATGAGAAGCATAGCATCTTGCAGTGAAGCAGCATCCCTTCGGATTCATGGAGAACTCATCTAAAACCACTATTTGTAGTGTTCCTTCGGAAGATGTGCGGTCTTCCTTTTCATATGATCTTTCTTACATGATACAGTATGTGCTTGACAATCACTATGCGTAAACAATATTATATATATATTCCTGTTAAAGAGTTCAGTATTCAAGTATGTAATTCTCCATTTCTTGAAAAAGGAAGATCAGTTTTTCTGTAGACAAGCTTGGCTTACAAACATCAATCTTAAGTTGAAGGCAGCACAATATGGATATACCTAGTCCGCAGCAGTCCTGCAGAATAGCCAGCCACCTCTTGAAAGATGGTAGCAGAGCCACTCGTTTCAATCACATGTTTGACACATGGTTGACACATTTTGAAATGAATACTCCACATTTTGACTAATGTACCCCGCATTCACAAAGGAAGATCATACTCCTTCAAAGAGAGTATTGCAGTAGTGCATACGTAAAAGGATTCTGTTTGAAACAATGGTACATTCTGTTACATAAAGTTAGATTGTCTCAAGAGAATCTTCTACGCAGTTCAAACAGATGAGCACCAGAAGTAAACATTGCCACCAAAAAAAACACGTATCTTCTTCATTTAAGACCTTTTTTTATCTCTACCCAAACAGGCAATTCCAAAAACTTCACATCCAAAAGCCCTGCCAAGGCACCACAAATTTGTTCATACCCATCTTATCCGCCAGCTTCTCCAGGAACGTTGGCTCCTTAGGTCTGGAGACTTCTCTGGATGGCCGTATAGTCTGGAAAGGCTTGCCGGCTGGATCCCCGGCTGGGTGAAGCAAAGTTTTCGAAGGCAAAAAAAAAGTCGTGAATCTCATGTTGAGGACCGCAACCAGCAAAATGATATTTTTTTGTGGTGAGCAATTTAAAATAATTTGGTACATTGAGAAGAGCAGTTTTGGCTAAATTGAAACCCTAACCTCAAGATTTCGTCCTCCCATCCCCCAAATATTGGTCCCATAAGTGTTGAGCTCATATTTTCGGGGCCCGGCGTCGGAGGGTCGGCGGTTGGGGGCGCGCCTCACCTTAGAGCTCTAGTCGCTCTGGGACGCTCGTAGGGCAAGCCACTCGTGGGGAGCCGGCGGAGCCGAATTTAAGGGCTGCCGCCCCTGCCGCCGACCCCGGAAAAGTGAAGAAGCCGAGGGAGGTCCACGACCTCGATTCTGTGGCTATTGGCTGCTGGCTGCTACTGGCGCTGGCTGCTAGCTACTGGCTATGTGCACCTTTTGCGTGCTCTTGCCCACGTTCTTGACACCCATTGGTGCCATCCTTGAAAAACACAATTTTTCGTGCTGCTAGCTGCTGCACTGCTGCCGTTGCGCGTACTGCTGCTGCGTCTGCTTGTGTCTGCTGCTGCCTACTGATGCTTGCTGCTGCCTGCTGCTGCCTGCGGCGGCCTGCTGCCTGCTGCTGGTGCTGCTGCTGGTGGCTGCTGCTGCTGTCGTGCTGCTGTGGTGCTGCTGCAATCAAACTGCTTCCAAAGCAAGAAACAACTGCTGCTGCTGCTGCTGCTGCTGCTGCCCTTTTGCGTGCTCTTGCCCATGTTCTTGACACCCATTGGTGCCATATAAATGAGAAAACTGCCAAACGTGACGTCTGAAACCCTATAGAAATATATACAAGATATATAGAAGTGCCTAACGTGTCGTCTGACATCCTAGAAAAACACAATTTTTCGACAGATTCTGTTGCTGGAGGCTGCTAGCAGTAAAACAGTTTCGAAAAAATCACCTCCCGGGGGAAAACACCAGGGCTCTGAAGGACGAGCGAGTGCCAGAATCACGCCAAAAAAGTGCCTAACGTGTCGTCTGAAATCCTAGAAAAAGCTAGATTTTTGGTAGGCTGCTGGCTACTGGCTGTTGGCTGCTACTGGCGCTGGCTGCTAGCTATACTGGCTATGTGCACCTTTTGCGTGCTCTTGCCCATGTTCTTGACACCCATTGGTGCTATATAAACGAGAAAACTGCAAAACGTCACGTTTGAAACCCTATAGAAATATATACAAGATATATAGAAGTGCCTAACGTGTCGTCTGACACCCTAGAAAAACACAATTTTTCGATAGATTCTGTTGCTGGCGGCTGCTAGCAGTAAAACAGGTTCGAAAAAATCACCTCCCGGGGGGGGAAAGCACCAGGGCTTTGAAGGACGAGCGAGTGCCAGAACCACGCCAAAAAAGTGCCTAACGTGTCGTCTGAAATCCTAGAAAAAGCTAGATTTTTGGTAGGCTGCTGGCTACCGGCTGCTGGCTGCTACTGGCGCTGGCTGCTAGCTACTGGCTATGTGCACCTTTTGCGTGCTCTTGCCCACGTTCTTGACACCCATTGGTGCCATCCTAGAAAAACACAATTTTTCGTGCTGCTAGCTGCTGCAAGCTGCTGCACTGCTGCCGTTGCGCTTACTGCTGCTGCGTCTGCTTGGAAAAACACAATTTTTCGACAGATTCTGTTGCTGGAGGCTGCTAGCAGTAAAACAGTTTCGAAAAAATCACCTCCCGGGGGAAAACACCAGGGCTCTGAAGGACGAGCGAGGGCCAGAATCACGCCAAAAAAGTGCCTAACGTGTCGTCTGAAATCCTAGAAAAAGCTAGATTTTTGGTAGGCTGCTGGCTACTGGCTGTTGGCTGCTACTGGCGCTGGCTGCTAGCTATACTGGCTATGTGCACCTTTTGCGTGCTCTTGCCCATGTTCTTGACACCCATTGGTGCTATATAAACGAGAAAACTGCAAAACATCACGTTTGAAACCCTATAGAAATATATACAAGATATATAGAAGTGCCTAACGTGTCGTCTGACACCCTAGAAAAACACAATTTTTCGATAGATTCTGTTGCTGGCGGCTGCTAGCAGTAAAACAGGTTCGAAAAAATCACCTGCCGGGGGGGAAAACGCCAGGGCTCTGAAGGACGAGCGAGTGCCAGAACCACGCCAAAAAAGTGCCTAACGTGTCGTCTGAAATCCTAGAAAAATCTAGATTTTTGGTAGGCTGCTGGCTACTGGCTGCTGGCTGCTACTGGCGCTGGCTGCTAGCTACTGGCTATGTGCACCTTTTGCGTGCTCTTGCCCACGTTCTTGACACCCATTGGTGCCATCCTAGAAAAACACAATTTTTCGTGCTGCTAGCTGCTGCACTGCTGCCGTTGCGCTTGCTGCTGCTGCGTCTGCTTGGAAAAACGCAATTTTTCGATAGATTCTGTTGCTGGCGGCTGCTAGCAGTAAAACAGGTTCGAAAAAATCACCTGCCGGGGGGAAAACACCAGGGCTCTGAAGGACGAGCGAGTGCCAGAACCACGCCAAAAAAGTGCCTAACGTGTCGTCTGAAATCCTAGAAAAATCTAGAGATTTTTGGTAGGCTGCTGGCTACTGGCTGCTGGCTGCTACTGGCGCTGGCTGCTAGCCATTAGTGCCATCCTTGAAAAACACAATTTTTCGTGCTGCTAGCTGCTGCACTGCTGCCGTTGCGCGTACTGCTGCTGCGTCTGCTTGTGTCTGCTGCTGCCTACTGATGCTTGCTGCTGCCTGCTGCTGCCTGCGGAGGCCTGCTGCCTGCTGCTGGTGCTGCTGCTGGTGGCTGCTGCTGCTGTGGTGCTGCTGTCGTGCTGCTGCAATCAAACAGCTTCCAAAGCAAGAAACAACTGCTGCTGCTGCTGCTGCAGCTGCTGCTGCTGCTGCTGCTTCTGCTGCTGCTGCCCTTTTGCATGCTCTTGCCCATGTTCTTGACACCCATTGGTGCCATATAAATGAGAAAATTGCCAAACGTGACGTCTGAAACCCTATAGAAATATATACAAGATATATAGAAGTGCCTAACGTGTCGTCTGACATCCTAGAAAAACACAATTTTTCGACAGATTCTGTTGCTGGAGGCTGCTAGCAGTAAAACAGGTTCGAAAAAATCACCTGCCGGGGGGAAAACACCAGGGCTCTGAAGGACGAGCGAGTGCCAGAATCACGCCAAAAAAGTGCCTAACGTGTCGTCTGAAATCCTAGAAAAAGCTAGATTTTTGGTAGGCTGCTGGCTACTGGCTGTTGGCTGCTACTGGCGCTGGCTGCTAGCTACTGGCTATGTGCACCTTTTGCGTGCTCTTGCCCACGTTCTTGACACCCATTGGTGCTATATAAACGAGAAAACTGCCAAACGTGACGTCTGAAACCCTATAGAAATATATACAAGATATATAGAAGTGCCTAACGTGTCGTCTGACACCCTAGAAAAACACAATTTTTCGATAGATTCTGTTGCTGGCGGCTGCTAGCAGTAAAACAGGTTCGAAAAAATTACCT